AATCCCTTGCAGAAGGTCAAGGCGAACGAGATCATCCGCGTGCGTGCAATCGGCATTCACGACTCCAAGAACTACCGTTTCCTGCCTTTCTCCCACCGCTCCACACACTCCGTCATCGAATTTTCCGCCAAGAAGAGCGACCTGGAGACCGAAGAGGTCGAACTTCTTTCCTACGACACGATCAAGATTGGCTCTTCCCACGTCGCCTTTGTCAACAACCACGGCAAGAACTGCTTGTGGGTAAATATCTCACCCACTGTTCGCGGCAGAATCGGCATCATGGACGTTTCCGACGACCTCTCTCACGCTGGCAACCTTGAGAAGCACTTCCCCATCGGCTCTGCTCTCAAGGTTCGCGTGGTCTCGGTCGATGCTGAGAAGGGACACCTGGACCTGTCAGCTCGATCATCCACCGGCTCCACTGAGGTCACTTGGGACTCTCTCAAGAAGAACGTGGCTCTCCCCGGTAGAGTGACCAAGATCAACGATCGCTCCGTTATGATCAAGCTTAGCGAGTCTGTTTCTGGACCGGTTCACTTGGTCGATCTTTGCGATGACTACGACCAAGCCAACACGCTCAAGTACAACAAGGGCGAAATCATCCGCGTCTCCGTGGTGGAGGTCGACAAGAGCGACAAGAGACTCAGATTGTCAACCAGGCCCTCCCGCATCCTCAGTTCCACATCTCCTGTCGCGGATCGTGAAATCACCAGGGTGTCTCAGATCGCCTCTGGAGACATTATCCGTGGTTTTGTGAAGAACGTGACTGACAAGGGTGTCTTTGTGCAACTTGGAGGTACCGTCTCTGCTTTGGTCAAGATCGGCAACTTGTCTGATCGTTACATCAAGGACTGGAAGGGCAACTTCCAAGTTGACCAACTGGTGAAGGGCCGAGTGATCAACGTCGACGCCGCTACCAGCCAAGTCGAGCTTAGTCTCAAGGCCTCCGTGGTTGAGAACGACTACACGCCCCCTGTGACGTACAAGGACGTCAAGGAAGGCCAGATCGTCACCGGAAAGGTTCGCAAGGTCGAGGAGTTTGGTGCTTTCATCGTGGTCGACAACTCCCTCAACGTCAGTGGTCTGTGCCATCGCAGTCAGATGGCAGAGAAGCCTGTTGAGGATGCTCGCAAGCTTTACAATGAAGGCGATGTGGTCAAGGCCAAGATTCTCTCGGTGGATGAGGAGAAGAGACGTATCACATTCGGCCTCAAGCCTAGCTACTTTGAGGAGGACAGCGATATGGAAGACGTCGATGGAGGTGCGGATCTCGAGAGTGATGAGGACTCTGACGTTGAGATGGGAGATGGCGGCGCTCAACTTGCCATTCGCGGTACCGACAACTTGGAGGAGTCCGATGAGGAAGACGAAGATTACGAAGATGGGGACGAAGAGGAGGATGAGGATAGCGACGTGGATATGGACGAAGACGCGACGGCTAGCAAGGGTCTCAGCTCTGGCAAGTACGACTGGACTGGCGACGCATTTGACGACTCAGAAAACGAGTCAAAGGCCAAATCAAAGAAGTCAAAGACGACGGAGAAGAAGGAGAAGAAGAAGGGTGGCGAGATCCAGATTGATCGTACAGCCGATCTTGATGCTCACGGACCGCAAACCGCCACCGACTACGAGCGTCTCCTGCTGGGTCAGCCCGACTCATCCCAGCTGTGGATCGAGTATATGGCTCTGCAGATGAAGGTCAGCGAGCTGTCCAAGGCTCGCGAGACTGCTGAACGTGCCATCAAGACGATCAACATTCGGGAGCAGACCGAGAAGCTCAATGTCTGGATCGCCTACCTCAACTTGGAGGTTGCTTACGGCACCAAGGCTTCCACCGAGGAGGTCTTCAAGCGCGCCTGCCAGTACAACGACGAGCAGGAGGTTCACGAGCGTCTGGCCAGCATCTACATCCAGTCCGGAAAGCTCAAGGTAAGCAGCCCCGATATTCTATTGGAGTCTATCGTTACTAACGCACCCTCACAGCAAGCGGATGATGTCTTCCAATCACTAGTCGCCAAGTTCAAGTCAAAGTCACCAAAGGTCTGGGAGAACTACGCCCACTTCCTCCACGTGACGATGAACGAGCCCGACCGCGCGCGTGCCCTCCTGCCCCGCGCGACCCAAGCCCTTGAGGAGCGTCATACAGCGCAGCTGATGGCCTCCTTTGGCGCTCTCGAGTTCAAGTCGCCCAACGGCGACGCGGAGCGCGGCCGCACAACGTTTGAGACCATCCTGGCGACGTGGCCGAAGCGGTTCGACCTGTGGAACCAGCTGGCGGACCTCGAGATCGCGGCCGCGGAGCCGGACGCCACGGCGATCCGGGACGTGTTTGAGAGGGGCACCAAGGCCAAGGGCCTGAAGCCCAAGAAGGCGATGAAGTGGTTCAAGAGGTGGGCCGACTGGGAGGAGAAGATCAGCCCCAAGGGCCGGGACAAGGTGATGGCCAAGGCGCAGGAGTGGGTTGCCGCGGCGAAGGCCAAGAAGGGGGCTGCTGCTGAGGAGGACGATGAGGAGTGAAGAAGCTGAAGATTCCCGGATTGTCATCGAATCGCAAAAAAGGAAAAGTTTTTGGTTGGTAATGAAAAATCTTTTGGCATGGGGGGTCCAACTCATTGGCCGCCTCCCCTTGTTTGTACTTGGGCTATACTGAGCAGCTCTTCTTTTTTCTATGTGTCAATAACAGCACGAATGGGATAACACGAATATTTCCTGACCCGACCTGACCTGAAATCTGCCAACCCAATATTGCATGTATGGCCCGGCCTGCTTGGCTCCTGACACCGATGCTGACCGCCACCTGTAACTCACCTACTTTACATTGACCAAATGCAGCCTAGCTTCATGGGTTGGGTGAAAGAAGGATGCAACCTGCCCGTGATCGACGCCGGGGTTGAGGTGTGTTTCTGCTTCATTCTCCAGATGCCGATGAATGCGACCCCAAAGAAAGTCTATAAGTCTAGAAGTCTAATGTGACCCAAAACTTTACAGTCACCATTCGTGAAAGATTTTGCCTCTGGTCTCCCAAGTGTCAACTGTCTGTCAAGAGACTTTTAGACAGCTGAACTCATTCTCTCTAAAGAGTTAGCAAGATCAATAGTAGCGGGCTTGGCAGTGAGAAAAAGGGGGGCTTAGTTAGTCTTCATGGTCCGGCGACACAGCATCTCGGAGCTGCGTCTGCAGCCAAGCCAATGCGTCCCAATAGCTAGATTCCCAGCGCATCTCAGCATATGCAGCGCTCTGCAGGATTAAATCTTGGGGTCAAGAAAAGTAAGCTTATCTCACTCAGTGGGCTGAAGATGGGAGAGAAGATGTGAACGAATGAGTCCAGAAGAGGGCGGCGACTCAAGATGAGTGAGTGACCTTTTTCTTACCTTAGGTAATGAGGTGAAGGCAAAGTCAGCAGGAAACGGTGCGGCTGGACTGCCGTGCGCCACAGCTGAAAATAGATCAGGCCCGATTGGGACACATTCTTACAGTCGACCAAACGCTTACCTTTCTTTCCCCTCCTCTCATGTCTTTTGATGAACATGGCCAGACTTCATCCATCCGAACAACTCAGAATCCCAAGGTTCGCATGAATGTCGACTTTCATTGCTACGGCGTTTGAGAGTTCCCTCGTAAAAGAATCCTTCATAGACGAACACAGCTCTCTCGCACCTGGTTGGACTGAAGTGAAAACAAACTCGAGACCGGGTCGGCATGGAAACGAACGCCAGTCAAACAAGCTAACCTCAAGCCAGCAGCGGTACCTGCGTCGCCGAGGCTCGCGATATTGGGGGAGTTTGGGGGGGAAGGAGGCTCGTCCGAAGTCGTGCTTGATCCTTCGCGGGGTCGCAGCAGAGGTTGAACAAGCATGAGGCACCGTGCTACGGAAGCTTCTGCGCTGGATGCGATGGATGGGAGGCCGCGATTCCCTCCTGGGCCAACGACTCGGGCTAGAAGGGAAGAAACACAGACTCTCAGTTGCCTTCTACTGCCTCGTGCTCAATCTTTCTCACCCAGTCAGTGAGAAAGTGAGAGGGGTATTGAGCATGTAACGATGGGCGACGTGCAGATGCTCGTATATGTGCAGAACTGACATTTTCATCCGAGCGGTCGGTCCACCGTCCAACATCGGATATCGCCTCTTCAGGGCCCTCGTCCCAATCAGGAGAAAGGTAAAGGTAAGGATCGAAGAACCGCAGACCGACCTGCCAGTGCATTTGCGGCGCTCAATAGCGTCAAGCGGGAAAGGAGAAGGAATGAATGGGTGAGAGCGAGACGCACAACACCGAGCGGCCTTGGAAAACAAAGTCTAGCAAGCTGTTGATCTTGGCTCAGCGGACGGCGCTACGCGAGTCGCGATGCACCGCCTATCACAGCCTAGGCAACGGCCTCTCGGGTCTGTCTGTTCAACTGTCGTGTCTGGCTTGTTTCTGCCATGGTCTGACGGCTTTCACAAACAACCTTCTTTCTCTTCAAGCTTGTTCTTCCTTCTCTTAGCTCTTCCAGAGTACGCAGTGCAAGGAAAGGCCCCTTTTGCCCTGGCGATCTAGCTCCGTCTTTCTGTTTTGGCGCCGTGTACCAACACAAGAAGCTTAAACGCTCACCATCCAATCCCACGCCGTTGTTCTTGGCATGGCGTTTCCCATTGTGCCTAGTGGCATGCGATACGAAGAGTCAACCCCTGTCACCGGCGAGTCTGCGCACCGTGACACGGCCGGTGGACGCGGGGACCACGGACTTACACCTCGGGGTGGGGCGCACCGCATCTGTAGATGCATTTCCCATATGCCACATGTATGTGAGTCTATTGTTAGAGCCGGCTTAGCGTGCATTACAGCTCCGGTGCATGGGTTGGTGTCCTTATTTCAGACCTCTGGTTCCCTCCCCTGGGCCGTCAGACCGACCGCCGCTTCGGCGAATGATTATCAAGGAATATCTGCTGATGCCGGTGGCGGACGGTGCGGTGGTGATCACTGATGGGCCGCCCGAGGCCCAGGGCTAGGCCTAGGAAGGGCTAGGCATCGCGCTTCTTGTTCCTTCGTTGTCCCGTCTTCAAGTCCGGGGTGGCATGCTTTTCTGTTCCCTCGATCCTCCTCCCAGAGGGCTGAGTATCACACGCCACAGGGCCAAGCTGGCACAGCAAGGCAGGCGTCCGGAGAGTTGACAACAGGTATCCACGATCCGAGGCATCGAGCTACTCGTGTCGTGAGATCTGACTAGAGGATGTCGGTATCTGTTTAGACTCACACACCAGAGGGCTTGTCCCGAAGGAGCCATGCACGCTAAGAAGGCGAGTCCTTTTTTGGAGAGAGTACACGTCCGGGAGCCTCATGGAAGAAAGCTGGACAAGCCTAGTTCTAGCAAACTATGCTGTGATGGATGGCTCCTTGCCAAGAAACGAACGAAGATGATATAAGGCCATGATGTCCGGCTTCCATCTCCAATGTCATCTCCTCTCCATCAAGTCATTTCCTCTCTATCCCTTTTCCTTCTTTCCAAGGACCGTTAGTGTCATTGTCATTCGCTACTTCGACTTTAACTCCATTTTCTAATTCAGCACATTCGCTTCCGTCGATATATAAGTTACTATCATCATCAGCATCATGCATCTCACATCCGTCCTCGCCACCTCCCTAGCCCTGGTCTCCCTCCCAGGGACCATGGGCTACCCAGGCATGGGCGAGCAAATGGCCGAAATCATGGCCCGCAAAAGCGACGCCGGCGATTCCACGGAGCTCCTCGGCGACCTCGTCACTCTCAAGGACAAGGATCTCACCCCCGTAGGCAAGGACATCAAGAGGATGCTTCAGGGCAAAGGCGACCCAGAGTCCAACGACAGATACAGCAAGGTCCCCGACCTGACTTCGGACAAGTGCAAAAAGGACACCTGCTGCGTCTGGCGCTACGTCGCCGACGACATGTACCAGTTCATGGCCGGCAAGTCGGGCCGCTGCACGGGTCTGGCTCGCGCCGCCGTCCGCCTTGGCTTCCACGACGCCGGGACATGGTCCAAGGCCACGGCATCCCAGGGTGGCGGCGCCGACGGTAGCATTCTTCTTGCTCCGGGCGAGATTGACCGCTTCGAGAACCGCGGTCTGCAGGATGTTGCTGTCAAGTTCAAGGAGTTGTACGGCAAGTATAAGGGCATGGGCTGGGACATTGGCATGGGCGACTTCATCCAGGTACGTTTTCAAGATACTGAATCAACACTGAAATCCCCTTTTCAGTCTTTGCTAACCATGTGTACCAAATAGATGGGCGCAAACGTCGCAACAGTAGTCTGCCCTCTTGGCCCGCGCATCAAGTCCTACGTCGGCCGCAAGGACAGCGCCAATGGCTCCCCCGACGGCCTCCTCCCGAGCCCCTTCCAGCCCGCCGACCAGCTCATCCAGCTCTTCCGCGACAAGACCATCGGCCCGCACGGCCTCGTCGCCCTGCTCGGCGCTCACACCACCAGCCAGCAGAATTTTGTCAACACCACCCGCGCCGGCGACCCCCAGGACAGCACACCCGGTGTCTGGGACGTGCTCTACTACAAGGAGACGCTCAGCTCTAACTCGCCGCCTCGCGTGTTCAAGTTCCCCAGTGACATTGCCATCTCCCAGCACCCCGAGACAGCCAAGGAGTTCAAGGAGTTTGCTGGCCCTGGCGGACAGAACCACTGGAACGAGGTATGGTGACCCCCCCTCCCTTATAACTTGTGCGCTGAAAGCAAGATGTTAACATGGCTTGCCTGATAGGACTACGCTCGTGAATACATCCGCCTCTCTCTTCTGGGAGTCAACAACATCAACCAGCTCACCGAGTGCACCAAGGTCCTGCCCCCTGCTGTGAACGGCTTCCGCGCCGTCGATCAGTACAAGCTCGACAAGTGGCTAAACAGCGTCGGCAACAAGGGTGCTGCTAAGAAGGTTGCTGAGGATATCGAGAAGGGCGAGCCCGCTTCCGTTGAGGTTCCTCCTGTCAACAACCGTAACTAAATCTTTGTGGCTTGTTTTTAAAGTAATGGCGTCGGTATAGATTTGGCTTGAAAGATTAATGAGGGGGTTGCATATTACCAGAATCGGAGTTTTGGTACTCGGTCCTTGTTGACCGTTTGTATAAATGGAGCGTCTGATGACCTCACATATCATATAATAATTCAAACTCAACAGTATTTACGACACAGTCTCTTTCATACAGTGTATAGATGTTTGATAGCAGAACTATAATGTCGAGAATGTGCATCGGCCACTGACTCGGATCACGGCATGCCTGGAAAGCTTATTCCTTGAGCGACTCGTGGCAGAGCAGTGACCACGGTGCATATATCTGTCGGCTCGACGAGGCGTCAACTAGAATTGAGCTGTTGGAAAGACAAATTAGTAGGGAGAATCTGAATTATTGTCCAGAAAACCGTGGTACCGGATGTTGAAAATCCTCCTTTCAGCTGCATATCGACAGGCACCGGTGGGTCTTCGGACCTGACAGTGTTCGGACCGAGAACAAGCTGGACCCTTCAGTGTACTGTGTGACATCGACGTTGTTTTAAACTTTCAGCGCTGTCCTCAAGTGGCCTCTCATCCCGCCTACTTAGCCTTTGACTGAACAACATCTTCCTTAGACCTCAATGTCGCATGGGATACAATACCCATAGTACATCAATCCTAGAGATCGTCCCACCCAGCCCATTTATCCTTCGACCACCATCGAAATAATGGACTATCGCCTGGTCCTCTTCCTCTACCGCAAAAAGGATATTACACACGCTGAGTTCAGAGATCACTACGAGTACATACACATACCCCTCACCCGAGAACTCACCGGCTCCCGTTTCCCCTCCCTGCACTCGAGACGGTACATTGAGCGATCGCCAAAGGACGAGCCAACTGTTCTCATCGGGAAAAGCACCGGAGAGGAGCCTGACGCAGTGGTTGAAATTGGGTTCAAGAACGAGGAGGCGGCGCAAGCGTTTTTCGATGTGACCAACTATGGGGAGGTCGAGGAGAGGTTGCGGAAGGACAATGCGCAATTTCTGGACTGGGAAAGGCTGAAGATTATGAGGATTGGGGACACTTTTGAGACGCGCAGGGAGGACTGAGGCAAACAAAGTGCATTCATGGGTGGACTTTGTATCTTTGATGAGGTCATAACTCATGAAAGAATGATGTCGGCAATTTGTTCCGCCTATATGTCGACGCAGCTACTGAATCCTCCGCGACAGCTCTATTAATCCTGTTCTTGTTGCCTCCTTTTTCAAGGTTTTAGTTCGAACTAGGAGAACGGTCTTGACTGCTTCTGTTGAACACCTCTATACCATGGATTGAGTGTGCAAAAATACGCGTATTTCGTTAAGCCTCGCCATAACCTAGTGCCGTGTTCTACATAAAACGCGGGCACGTAAATGATTTTCTATACATAAAGACATGTCCGCAGCTCAATTTATCGATGTTGAATGTCCGGAAATATCTCTTTCTCTCTCTATTTATCTCGAACGTTGGCAATGGTTCGTGAGGTGCTCTTCTAGAAATACGCGTAAATTTGCAGGCTTGGCGTGGGGCGTTCTTGGATCCTGGAGGATTGCGTCTAGACGCTGTATTAATTACTCCAGCCTTCAACGAAGGCTAGCTTAGCATCATAGTCATAGAAAGAGCCTACGATGAGTAAACTATACGTTAGTCCGCAGACTAAATGATGCACGTAAGCTTTAATGGTCTTCAATTCTCTTGATCTGCACAATGTCTAAAGCCTCCGTAGCCTAAATGCACGTGGCAGTAAGAGCTAGTTGTGAGCTAGTAGCAAAATTACGCGTAAAAATGCTCTTCCATACATAACTTGAACATGATGCTTGTCGAGGTATCTCGAAAGCATCAAAACATATCTTCCCTCTAAGGCTACTCATTACGCCAATATGTCATCACGGCCTTTCAAGCTATTAGCTCATCAGTCCAGGGCGCAGATCCCAACTTGCTAGATGGCTGTGCACGCTCACGATGATGCTCCTTCAGAACAGTGTAGGTGGCAATATCAATTTCGGATTGACACAAGGCTGATAGAATCATCATAAATAGAAAGAATCTCTCCCGTCAGTTGGTACAAGAAAGACTTCATGCAATTCACAGCAAACTTCACTCCACCTTAATTGAACCTCTTGTACCAGAAGCTCTCAAACTCATCATGATGCTTTCTCATCTAACCCTACCGTCAGCGGGCATTACGACTGCCACACTACTGCTGCTGTTTAGCGGTGCGCAAGGGCAACAAATGATTGCGAATAACGGCATCCAAGGCCCCTCTGGCTTCCCTGCAGTCCGCAACCCTTCCCCAAGTAAAGCGTCCCGATCATCTTGGACTAATTTGTGTTTAGTGTGACGCCCTTGTGGCCGCCAACTTATCCCACGCCATTCACTTTCCGTCTTCTCCTCTCTACCAAACCCTCGTTCAGAACGGCTCTTACGCTATCTCCACGCGAAAACAACCTTGGTGCTTCGTTCTTCCGAGCACCGCCGCTGAGGTTTCCAAAACTCTTACCGCTCTTCACTCCGCCGGTGATGGTGCTGGAGATTGGCATGTGGCCATCCGCAGCGGCGGACACGGGGGTGATAATCAAAACAACATTGTCGACGGTGTGACCATCGACTTGACCCACCTCAACACCACCACGTACGACGCAGCTACCAACGTCGCACACGTCGGGACCGGGGCGCGATGGGGTGCTGTGTACGCCGCGTTAGAAAAGGACGGAGTCTTGGTGACGGGCGGAAGAGAATCTGTCGTAGGCGTGGGCGGACTTCTTCTCGGCGGTGGCATCTCGTGGTACACGGCGCGTACGGGCTTCGCATGCGACAGTGTCGTCAACTACGAGGTGGTCCTAGCGAGCGGGGAGATTGTCAATGCCAACGCGTCGGCTAATGCGGACCTATGGCGGGCTCTGAAGGGAGGCAGTAGCAACTTTGGTATCGTCACTCGCTTCGATCTCGCAGCGTTTCCGGCTGAGAATTTGCACATGGAGACGAAGACCTTTAGCCGAGAGCACGCTGGTGAGCTCGTTGATGCGGTTGCTCGATTCGCCGATTTGGATCGGTCGTTCCAGGACAATGCGGTGCTCCTTGTCGTCACCTACGATCCAGAGAAGGAAGACAGCGTCTGGAGGGCGACTAAGGTCAACACCATGAACAAGGCTAACAGTACAGCATTCGACGCATTCGATAGCATCCCGACGTCAGCACCAACTATGGAGAAGTCGGTGACGCTTGTCGAGGCTGCCAACAGCACCGCGCTGTCCGGCAAGAACCGGTAAGTTGAATAATTAGAAGACGTCCAGTCACATTAATACGAAGTCAAGAGTTGCTAATGATTTTCCTCCTAGAAACGCTGGAGCTGGGGCTTTGACCGCAGTCAACGATCCAAGAGTCTTGCGGTACTGCATCGAACAGCATGAGGGCCTCGTCGCCGACATGAAGGCTCTCCTCGGACCAAAGAACTTTACCACGATTCTCGACTTCCAACCAATCCCGTCATACTTTGCGGACATCGGCGTGCAGAAGGGGGGCAACATGCTCGGACTCGAGCGAGACTCGCGCAACAAGGTTCTTTTCGTCATGGGAGTGACTCTGCTAGGATCAAACAGCGAGGAACTCTTCCCACGGGTTTATCAGCACGTTGCAGCCGCGAACAAGAGAATTGAAGATTTCTCCAAGTCTATTGGTAGCGATACTGAGCTCAGATACCTTCCGTATGCGGACTCTCGGCAAGATGCAATTGGAAGTTACGGAAAAGCCAATGTGGAGCACATCCGAAAAGTTGCGGAGGAGTATGATCCTGAGGGCTTCTTCCAGTACAGGGTTCCAGGCGGCTTCAAGATCAGCCGAGTTTGAATGGAATTCTGATATCGAATTTAGACGCAAAGAGAAGAGATAGACTGGTTCGCGTATATGATTCTTTGTTTTCTATTGTTGCTTTTTCGATTATTACGTAGATAGGTTTGTGCTCTTAGATGAAACGGTTCGCTCATATAAATCAACTGTGTGAAAAGCAGCGCACTTTGTGCTATGACCACCGACCAAAAACCCATGCGTGACTAGCCCGCGAATTATTATGCATGATTCAATCAAATCTGTAAGAGTCTGTCATTCTGGTCGGGCCAAAATCGAGAGACGTTTGCATCCCGTCATTGTACCACACCTGACCTCTCGGCCACTCCGCCTCCTGAATATTCTGGGCATGGCGTGGTATGATAGCTGGAGGGAAGCCGACCATGGAAGGCGCGTGATCTTGAGCAAGCAGGTATCCAGCCCCGTTGCCGGTCTCTGCGTTGCCAGCCATCATCGCCGGACTCCAGGGTACATTTGCTGGATGTGGGTTGCACCCACAGGCTGAGTACTGGGGAGATGGATAGAAGTTCCACGAGGGATTCGGCCGTTGATATACGACATCCTCGTTGCAGCTCGAGTAGAGAGGGTCTTGATAGAAGCCCTGCGGCTCTTCGTACTCGTATTCCGGTTGATTGGTCGGGAATGCCAACTGCTCACTGGCTTGGCTCTCGTAAAACAGCTCATTCGATTTATTGAGCTGGCGTGTCGTATGATGCATGTAGTCAGGGGAAGATTGACGGTCCGCTATCGTTTGTGTGGGGCTCGTCGTATCATTATCAACATGTTCTGGCATTGAAATCGGACTCGTCATGGGGCTGTCGTCTTTCGAAGTGTTCGTAAGTTCCTCCAAGGACGCGTCGGATTCCTCCCCAGACGCCGAGTCGTGGTAGATCTTGTGATGCTGAATCAAAGCCACCTTGCGACAGAAACTGACTCCCTATTAGCTGGAGTCCATGTCGTTGCGGAAGTCAAAAATTATTACTCACCTCTTACGACAGGTTTCAACAGCGCACGTATACGGACGCTTGCCCAAATGCACCCGACGATGACGCGAAAAACTCGACGACTTGAGATCATTAGAGTCCAAATCCCATTCCTGATTATGCCAAGTATTGACTCACATCTGCGAACCGTTTATAGCATCCAGGATATTGGCATTCGTATGGCTTTTCACCAGTGTGCGTACGGAGATGTACAGTCAATGCACTTCTTTGGATGAAACTCCTTTCGCAGCCAGGTGCTGGGCATGGATACGGCCGCTCATTGGTATGAATTCGGAAATGTCTGATGAGGTCCGACTTGCGGTTGAATCCCTGGGGGAATACGCTGGTAAGTATGATATCCTTCAGAGATTGACAACCTTCTGATGGTACTGAGGGTTCCGGGAAGCACTAGACATTACCTTCTCGCAGGTCTTCCAACTGCAGTAGAAGCGACGGAAGCGCTCCTTGTTGTTGACAAGTTCAGTGATTTCCATTTTCCTCGCGGGCAATGCCTCTGGGTTGCTGATGGTGAAGGTTGGCTGCCCAGTTAAACAGAGGGAGACAACTCTTTCGGGTTGATTGTTTCCGAGTTTCGGCTCCGACGGTTCGTCTAATAACGAACTAAGGTGAGCGGGTGTTATAAGCGCGTTTTGGCGAAGCCCATAACCTGGAGTTCGATGATAGACTACACCGGTATGATGGAAGTTGGATCAAAGCGTACGTCGTTTGTTGAAGAATGTGCGATTTGAAGATGCAGAGAGATGCGTAAACGGCAAGGTGACTTTTTAGCTTGGGTTGGGGGCGTGTGTCTGTAAATGACACCGTCAAATAGAAAGATCAGGAAGGTAGCGGTCTGAAGGAGATTCGGCCTAGTAGCTGAATCGTATCCGTTGACACCCATACTTTAGAGAAGGGGCATCATCGCATCTTTTAGCGTGAAGCTTTCATTATGTAGGTGGAAAATCCTCGGTCAGGCTTGCAGGATGCCTTTCAGTGTCTAGACCAAAATAGTCGTGCCGCAGTGTAGCATCGTCGTTGGATCCTTGAGAGATGGTCCAAGCTTAGAGTGAAAACCCCCTGGACATCCAGGGCTGCTCAAGGCAAAGCATTGGAGATCATTTCAGTTCTCGTCATTCCGGTGAAGGTGTGGCATGCAGCCCGACATCTGCGGGGGCTGCGTTGTTGCGAGTGGCGACGAAGGTTTCCCTTGCCCTGCGTTCAGATGTCGCCATTACGGATAGAAAACAGAGTATTACAAGTTTTCCGTGCCATTTGATAAGGCATGGGCGTCGTGGGTCGCTGCATGGGATATCCAGAAGTCGACTGGGGATGTCTGGAAGCATGGGGTAATTTGTAGCGTACCCTACAGAAACCCATTAGAGTTTGGCCCAAGCTGGAAGCGGGGGCAGTCTGGATGTGCTTCGAGGATCTTGGCCCTTGGTTCCTAGTGATTGCATCCCTCGTGACCAATACGGACTGCACAAACCCTAGTCTAGCCGATGTGATCTACGGGCTTGGGTAGCAAGCATTTCCTCTCACAGTTTCATATTAGGGCTTAGTGTGAGAGGATGAAAAAGTGTCACAGTGTCTTCTGTCTCACAGAATCGTTCGAGTTTTCGGTTCAGCACCAAAAACTAGTGAAGAGATCATCTGCAGTCCAGGACTCAGCTTTGCTTTTTCTGATCCGCTCAAAACCGCTGTTTTCCGCCAAAGGCTGCCTCTCTGCCTTCACCGTTCTGCCGACTACCTACCGCCATGCCCTTGATATGACTTGCTGATGGGGCTACCAAGAGAGTTTGGATGATTGACGGATCGCCATTCCTACGGGTGGCCCGGCCGGCGGATCCGCGTGTCTTGCTGCCCTAGGGGCCCAATTCCTCCCCTGTGATTTGTTCTTCCCATGGTAGTTCCATGGTAGATAACTGTTTGGTATCGACCGGTCTCGAATCTGTGCTCGTTATCAATCTTTAAATTAGACTAAGTAGCTAAGACGTCTCATATCTCTTGAAAGCCGTGCCATATCCGTACTGGCGGTAAGTGGGATTCCACGGGACTTGTGGCGGTTTCCCCGGGATCGAGAGGCCGTGCCCAGAGATGTTCCGGCGACTGACGACAGTCCTTGCCCCGGATACAACTCGGAATCGGGATCGGGGGTGCGACGCGGAATGCCACGCAAGATGCGGATTTCAATTGCCTCTTCGAGAGAAGCTTGCGAACGAGGGCGGATCTCCGGGATCATCTGGGATATCTCCCGTCTTCTCCAATCAGCACTGAAACTTACAGATTTCATTGCAGCCTGGGCTGCCGAGTGAATGAGGGTGGGATATCACTTCTCACTTTGGGAGATTCCTTTGGGGGGGGAGGGGGCTGTTGGGTGCTGAAGATATGATAACTCTGTGGCATTATGCCAAAGCTACAGAGCTCAGGCCGGTGGGCCAAACCTCGAGATGATCCTCCACTAGGGAGCTAGCCAGGCCGTGAGACCCAGAGATGATGGCCCGGCAAGGATCTGTGGTAGCCTTCATCCCCAGCTCTTCCACTAGGCTTGTCACTCTCAAGTTTTCAGCAGACGCTAACTCCACGTTGGCGAGCGCGGGTGGGTTGAATCCCTGTCAAAGCCGGCATCAAGCAATTTCCCGGAAGGGCCCGGACGGGCCAGGGAGCATGCCTCCTCTGTGAAGGACGGCGACCATCGAGTGGTCGCCGTATGATGCTTGGCTGCATGCTTCAACAGCATGTCGACTACTCCTCAAGTATGTGACTATTTGTTCAATCTGTCAGAAAAGGCGCAATGACGAAGAGCCTGGGCTGACATGGGGTTGGGATGGTTGAGATTTGAAGCAGGGAGATGCCTGCGAAACGGGACCATGAACGTAGATCATTCAGGCACCCCACGGGATGGGACTCGACCCGGAGGAACAGTCAACAAATGATATCCAGTATGGACCCCAGTCAAATTCTTGAAATATCGCCATTGCCGCTGCCGCTCCATCCAGCTCACCTCTCATCCGAACGCGGGAAAAAACAATCGAAACACGCGGTGAAGACACAGCCACATTGGTCCCTTTTGTGTGCCTGCGCGCGCTTTGACGTATGCCATCTTTTCTTTTTCCTCTCGTGATATCCCGCCCGTTATTCGCAAGAACCCAGTTACGAGAGCTGAAGCGAAACATTGTTCTTCAAGTGGGTTAATTGACAGGCACGTCAGGTCGGCGCCCAAAGCGTTCATCACCCTTTTCGGTATGCTTAGTCGACTTCAAACTTCTCCACAGGGTCTTTTTTGCCACGCGAGACCTGCCAGAGTGACAGGTCAAGAATCAGAGACTGCGTGGCCTAACCCCCGAATGATTGGACCCCCTGCGTCATTCTCGCACAGTTCGGGCGCGGAACCGAATCAGCCGCAACCACGAGGCTCAGTCCCGAAGTTCGCAAGCAGGGAAACATCTGTCTTAGTTTTAGCCTGCGCCGAGATTCGGTGGCAATTCCCGACCTCCTGATAACCGGTCAAGAGCTCAGGGGTTCCAGATTAATGTGCCTTTGACCTTTGACGTTGGGGATTGCCGATCGCGTAAAACTTCGTGGGTACTGGGGAGGCGATTGGGTTTGCCCTGATTTGATGGCCAAGAAGAGAATCACACTCACTTGCCGGTCCATCGCAAAATCGCAAATTTTCCTCTTTTTGTAGAGGCCTCCTGCCGAGAGACGCTTTGATACGAGATGATAACAATGCCACGGAGTGGCCGACTTAACTCCGTCATTGGGGAGACTCGGAGTATTACAAACGTCTTTGAGATTAAACTCTCAATCCCAGCCAAATCTAGCCAAACTGTAAGAGCATACAAGTGCAATGAAAGAGATGTAAATAGGTGAGTGGAGCTGAGTTCCGTTTCTAAGCAGACCCTCGAGGATGAGACAGCTCCCTAAGCGCCGGGTACATTTGCCGCAGTCCAAGTCATTGCATCTTATGTAATTGGGTAGAACAGCCTACTTGCCTTATGCCTGGCCTCTGAAGCAAAGGCGGAAGGAATTGGGTTCTCAAGGGTAATGTGGTTTGAGAGTTCTCCTTGCCGTCAAGGTCTGTAATCTTAGATGGGCGGGTGCCTAAACTTAATGTCAACTTTTGCATGAGGGCGAGGTTACAAATACGTTGCATTCACGGCAGATGACATTATTGGAGTGAGTTGAATATTTGTGGAACGTAGCAACGTAGCACTCTGGGAATCCATTCAAAGAAGCTGATTCGGTTTCTGTGACATCAAATAATAACCCTTTCTCAATCCAAAGTAAAGCCGCGGAAATTTGTCACTCTCAGAACACTAAAATCCCATGTCTTTCGGCCATTAAAAGACGACTACGGGCGCCTCCTTTTTCAGCCCATCATCGCTTTTGATATCATTGCCAGATGGCGACGGGAGACACTCTTCAATGTCCTCATCCAGCTTCGTGTCATCCAGCATCTCGGGGTTAAAACACCGAGAACCCTTGGGAATAAACGTCGATGCAAACACCGTGACCATGATGACCGTGAAGTGCACTCCGGCAGTATTCACCAGCGCCTCTCGCACTGATCCTGTTCGGTTGTACACGCCATCGATGTATCTCCCGAGGAAGGTACCGGCAATCGCATATGTGACAATGTAGAAGGAATACAAGAACGCCATAACCGCCCCGAGGGGTGAAACCCTGTTCTCCTTGTCCTCTAGCCTGGCGAGAGAAGCCTGGATAAAAGCGGCCAGAGACACATCTCCCGCGGCCCAACCGAACGAAACTGGCAAAAATGTGGCGGCGACGATCCAGGCTTGGCCGACCTGCCCCGAAGGCGGATACCAATAGGGGATGTACCAAACAATGAGCAACATCAGGGCATCTAAGCGAAGCCACGGGATGGGCGTCTTGATCACGTTCGTGAACAGGAAGACGAACAGCGCACCCAGAAGTTCACCGAAATTAGAGCCGCCGACCATAATTTGTGACCATGCCGAGTTGCCCAGGTACCGTCGAGCGACTTGGGGTGCGATGCCATTTTCGAGATATCGGTGTCCATAAAGGGCCACACCGTATGCCGGGACCAGCCAGACGAATCTCGTCGACGTGAACAGGATCTTTGCGCCGACCCATATTGACTCAAAGAAGAGGAGAAAGCCCTTGCCAATATTGATAAAGTAATTGCTTTTGCGGGCTTCAGCTCGCGCGAGGGCGTTGCGGTCGTGGCTGCCGTCCACGACAAAGAACCATAGGATCGCCGCGAGAGAGAAGCAGATTGGGGTGATGACGAAGGAGCGATTATTGCCGAGATTGGGAATGAGAACCAGCGCTGTGACGAAGGCCCCTGATGTACCGGCGACCTCGTAAAAAATGTGTACCAGGCTGTCCATTTGACGAAGTTTCTGAACGTTCCCTCCGACGATGTCTCGCGGGATAACCCGGCGGATGAGTTCAACCATGCCGTAAGCGATGCCCGTGACAGTGTAGATGGGTATGATGGCATCGTTGTTGTAATCTCCGTAGTAAGACCATTCATCTTTGGGGTGCTTCTTTCGGTACGCTTCTGGAACAAAAGTGCCCCCCGTCGCAGCATCGAGGATGAGCAGAATTGCCGTCATCAGGCCAAAGAGGAGGATGGCTGCCGAGAGAACATTCTTCGTCGGGTAGTGTTTGATGAGAGGTGCAATCAGGATGGAGCCGACACACTGTGTGGCTTGGTTCAGTCCCTGGAGGAGACCGAGTCGTTCAAAGGTGCGGGATGGCGTGCCCCTAGTGTCGCTTTCGTAGTCGTAACGGTTCGTGGCGAGTGCGGTGATGGACCCGTTGAACGCTTCAAGGCCGAATTTGTACAGCATGATGCCGCAGATATAGAAGAATATGGCTCTTCTTTCCTGTGGACTGAAAGACTTGAGCCTCTCGACGAAGCCTTTGAAGATGGCCATGAAGGGCTGCTAGCGCATGTACGCCTCAATTTGTCTTGCTATGTTTGAAGTTGAAGCAAATACACCTTGCAATGTTGTAAACGAAGCCCGATATTTCGAATCGTGATTGTCTGAAACGCTTCGATAAACATTCCACCCGGTTATTATATGTATGATAGTCGACGAGATAAAGCACTCGCGCAGGTAAACGAAGACATCGAATAGCAAGCTCCCATCTCGTCCACGTGGGCCTGATTGATGGATTACTTACCTTGATGCCCATCATGGGTGGTAAATCTTGGCCATAGACCTCGAGACCGGCTTTTCTTAGGAAGGGCCGAGGACTAGGTTTCTTCGGTTCATGGAGTGAGGGTATTATTGGAGAACCTTGGCGTCTAGATTTAAACGAATATGGGGTAACGGTAGCGGCCGCACACCTCCACATCTACTTATACCTATAGTCGTGTACTCTCAAAGTCATACACACGTAGATGCGGATTATATCTTGAACATACGGTTCTTTTCGGTTGTCAACAAGCACCTCGTACCTGCATATTGGGGGGCAGCTAACCAATGGTTTACTATATTAGAAGGCCTCAAACGACCTGAGCAGATCATTTCATACAGGCTTATCAGCTTGAATACTTTGCAATATGAAGTTTGGAGATCAAGGGAATGGAGGAAGCGACTTTCATAGCGCCAAGAGGTTGGCTATGCCCCTCGCTTCTTGGTCGTTATCGACTCTCCGAGCCAAGGCAAAGCCCCGATAGCTTATTTGAAGCTGTTCTCGATAAAGAATGGTCCACGTTTTTCGGTCATGGATATGGCTTGGGCCCAGAATAAGTCTGGGCATCGACGTGGAAGTGATCCAAGGTGATTGGCCGTGGCAGAGGGCATCGTAGAACTTGGATGGGAGGCTGTGCTCGATGTAGCGACGCGGCCGGTCGACGATCGCCACAGCCAAACGGTGTAGCTGTCAACGACTCTGCTTGCTGTAGTGGTGATTCTCCAATATCTTGGCAGTGGTTGTGCTCTTGGCAGATGAGAGCGACGACTGCGCCTTCTTATGCTTCCCAATGCGCTTGGCGGCCGGGAGGGTAAATACCGCAGGCAAAATTTGGCAGATGAGAGCCAACCATTTAAACACATGCTCTGTCCTTCTTCTCTCTCGTCAATTGATCTGAGAAACTGTTCCTAAGTTTTTTGGTGCTGCACAGTAGACGATATGAACGCCGATGTCAGTCAAACTTTCTCGTGACGCCAAGATATTGGTTGCCTCCCTGCTTTGTCATCCACCATATTTCATCGGAGAGAATTGCTGGGACGGAGGACATGCTCGATCAATCTCGACTTCTCGAAGGATCGCGTTCAAATCTTTCGACTTCGGCACACACGTCGCATCCACACCGAAGATTGTGTTGTGATAGCCCGAGCATGCTTGCAGAATCCTGCGGCGCGTGCCGGTATCCACAACCACCGGACGGAGCGGCAGATGTGGGGCCGTTCGGTGTAATCCGCAGCTTCAACTTCCGGTATGCGTGGTTGCGGGCCTCATGGCAATAGAGGCATCAAGAGGTTATCTAGCAACTAGGAGAACATGTTCTCCAAAAGATTCTGACGAATACTTCCACATGAAGCCTTGGTGTCGTGGTACACCCCATCAATTGACCTTCAGACTGGTGAGCTACTCCCGATAAGCATCGCCATCACAATCCCTTGGTATTTCAAGCAGCTCGATTCAACAGAAATCTGCCGTAATATGACACCTAGCAACGACTGCAACGCATGATATTTCCGAAAGAAGTACAAAAATATGAGCTACCTGTGGCATCATGTAGGAACACCAATTTTCGTGAGCACAAGCGTACGCGAACTCGCTACCTTTGCGAGACCCACTATGCGAAACCATCCTCCACTAGGTCATAGACACATTCAGACGGTGCTCATACTTTCCTTCCGATTTCTCTGCCTCATAGATCTTTGCGGGAGGCGGTGGGGGTCATGTGTATTCCATCGAGCTGGGGTGCTTGCCTCCGTGAACTTAGCATCGCACCCTGGCCTGGCCTGGGGATCATTTACCGTGCATGTCATATCAACAAACTGCCTCCCTCAGATTTCAGCAGGTTCAGGGGCTAATACAGGCAGAATTGCTGTACAGGATGGATTATAAGTGCGGCATAAAATTGATTGTGAATGAAACGCCGTGAAAAAAGTCCGTTGCTCAGATACAGACCTGTGATACTGAGATCCATCAACAAGACACTAGATGGATGCTCAATGTATTCTCTATATCTTGCGTTTCTGTAAGCCGGAACGACTGCTTATGGATAGCCTCGCCACAGTGTAATAGCTCAATGAGTACACATCAGAGGCGCGAACCCGTCTGTCCACTTCTCAGCACCCATGATGATGACCATCACCGCGAAGCCCACTACGACACTTCCAAGCCCATAAATATACGCATGCCTCCGCCGCAGCGCAGTCAACTCTGCAACCCACGTCGAGACAGTCGTCAAGCACCCGCAGAACCCGTCCTCGACGCCTTGCAGTACCTGGCATCCTATGACGCTGCCCAGCCCGGCGTGCGCCAGATCCCAACACATACCAAGCACGGCAACGCCTGCAATGTTTACCGCGAAAGTACCCATCGGAAACGCCGGCACCCGCGCGTTAAGCATCAAACTGGCGTAGAAGCGCGCAAGGCAGCCTAGCGGCGCAAAGACTATGGAGAAAATGACACGTCCTCGCCAGGCGTCGTGGGGCGGCCAAATGGCGAGGAGGACAGCGCCAAGCCAGGCGCCCCAACCGAAGAGGACGGCGCAGCGGTCCATGACTTTCCGGCCGAGGAGGTAGGGGATCGACGGGGTAATCCCTTCAAGCGCGATGGCGAGATGCGCACCGAAGATGAGGGCCGAGAGGCTTAGGGCGACAGTGGCGATGATGATGGCCATCATCGCCATGAAGGACTGCCCTCCGGTCCGCGGTTCGGGGGTCGCACCACCTGCGCGAGGAAGATCGTTGACCATGGCGAGAAAAACGTCGCGGATGAAGGAGGAGAAGGAGGTGAAGGAGCCGCAGAAGCCTGTGGAGAGGCCAATGTAGAGCGGTATCGTCTTCTTGGTTGCGAGATGCGCCTTCTTCGCGGCTACGAGGTCGCTGGAGGCGGCGCCGTCGTCTGCCTGCTCCCCGCGGCGCCGGGCTTTGATGATCTCTCTGTGGTAGTTGGGCATACCCCATTCCTGCTTGAAGAGCTTGCGGTCTTCGATCAGGAAGCCCATGACCAGACTGCCGCCGACGTTGGCCCACAGCACGCCAAAGGAGACTGGGGCGCCGGGGTAGAGCGTCAGAGCCTGCAGGCCCAGACGGGCAATCGTGCCGAAGATGGCAAAGAAGACGAGGTATGAGAGTGTATACACCTCCGTAGCCACTCTAGAGACCTGTGCGGTGGGTTTTGAGGTTGTGGTTTCGGGCTCGTCTTGCTCGTCGGGCGTTATTGTGTCTTGCATCTCGACATCGGAGGGTCGTTGAGGCGATCGCATAACCTCCAGGCTCTCGCCTCTTCCCGGACGATGCCGCCTGGGCTTATGCGCGACAGGGTCGGCGACCATCTCGTCGAGGTTGCCGTAGTCTTCTGGTGCATCGTATTCGTACGACTGTCTCCCGTCTTGACTCTTGCCTCCTCTCGTGCGACTCTTGCTGGAACTGTGCACATTGGCGTCGGCGATTGTGTCCTTGTGGTCGCTCCGCGCTTTGGGAGCGTCGTGACCAGCGGATCGCATCTCCTCCAGACTCTCGCCCCTCCCGTCACGACTTCTACTCTCGCCATGAGAAATTGGGTCCGTCACCATTTCGTCGAGGTTGCCATAGTCTTCAGGCGCATCGTACCCGACCGATTGCCCGCTTTGTGTTTTCTTGCTCTTTGTATGGGCTTGCCCACTGGTAATACCCATCTGTGTAAGATCTTTCTCATCCGCGGCAGCATCGCTGACGTGCCTCATTTCGTTTCCGCCTTGCATCACGAGTTCCGTCTCTAGATTTCGTCGTCGGCGCGTTTCGATTCATGACCGGAATTCGTGTGATCTTGTTCGGTATTTAAAATCGCGCGGGTTTCGACAATCAAAAGATTCTGGGGTCGTGGAAATTCCGGGTAATCGGCAATATCGTCAACGAGAAGAGAAGGTTGATCAGTAGTCGCGTCACTAAAAGATGCCACAAAGACGCCTGTTGTAGCGGGAACGTCATTCCCAGACAACCTTGTCTTAGCGGCAGAGGCGGATATCTCGGTACTCCCGGTTTTGCTCACCTCACACCGCTCACCGATGGCCCAAGCTCCCTGGTGGGGTCATCCTCACCGAGGAAAGGCGGAGTACACCGAGGCGGTGACATTCCACGTCGATAAGGTAAGTCAGTGTGAGGAGGGATGGAGGGGCCCAACATCCTGAGCTAAACAGCTTCAGGCAGGACGACAGGTAAAAAGGACAACAAGTCGAGAAGAAGATGTTACTAATAACTTGCCAATTGCCATCCCCTATATCTCGTCACCCATGCATTGCCAGCTATCTTATGAAAAGGCTCCAACTAAAACATGCATGACGGCGACCTCCGAACACCTTGCCGGACGCCGGAGTTGACCTGGTGGCAGCCCCCAATTGCTCCAAAAAAAGGACGGGCGTTGGGCGTCGGACCTCAAGGGCTTATCTTATCCAGAGCTTCCCTCCGCATGCAGGACCCACTCAAGGTACCGGCGCTGATCAGGAGGACAAGGAAGGGACCCCTCCTCCTCCTACTGCCTGCTGGTCTCAGTGGCTTGCTCCGGCCTCCCCACCAACCTCTCTCGTCGATATCGACGGTGAACTCCCAATCCTCATTTTCCTTAAATTTGACGATCCCTCCTTTACTTTATTTCATCTGGTCACCGTTCAATGCTTCAGCGTATTCGTGTTTAATTCCATACTTAGGTTTCTTACGTACCCTCCCATATACACCATGTCTTCCTCAACACCCGAGCTCCCTGCCAACGTGCACGTCTCCCAGCACCCCTGTCTCCGGGCGAAGCTGTCCCAATTGCGGTCCCAGTCGACGCCGGCGAAAGAGGTGAAGACGCTGGTGCATGATATTGCGTTGATGGTAGCATACGAGGCCCTCGGCGCCTCCACAAAAGCGACAGATGGATCAAAGGTAATTATCCCTTCTTTCAAAGCTGTTTCGTGTTACAATCAGGCATCAGGACTGACACCCTTCGCCCAGGATTCTACCCCGCTAGGATTCGACTTCACATCAACCACAATCTCCCCCTCCAGCCTCTGCCTCGTCCCCATTCTGCGATCAGGCCTCGGCATGGTAGAAGGTAAAGTACCCCTCCAACACCAGATATCTATTGTCCAGCCTGAAGCCTCGAACTAACATACCAACCACAGCCGTCCAAACCATCCTTCCCACGCCCGTAGCAGTCCACCACCTAGGCCTCTACCGCGAACCCTCGACCCTCGAGCCTGTAGAATACTACAACAACCTCCCCAACCACGTCTCCCCCGACGGCTCCAACGCCGGCGCCTCTGAGCTCGCCATCGTCCTCGACCCCGTCATCGCTACCGGCGGCACCTGCGCCGCCGCCATCCAGACCATCCGCGAGTGGGGCGTCAAGCGCATCGTCGTCCTCTCTGTCATTGGCGCCGCAGAGGGCGTCAAGCGCGCCGCGGGCGAGTGGGCCGGCGCGACGGATATCTACATTGCTGGCGTAGATGCCGAGTTGACGGACAAGGGCATGCTGAAGCCTGGTGTTGGTGATGTTGGTGATCGGTTGTTCCTTACTATTGGAAAATAAAAAGAAAAGGGGCGACTTGCTGCTATCCGTGATAGGGAGGTTTGGTGCGGCGCATGTGGTTTAGCCCGCTCAATTAGCCTTCGATATCAAATCACCTCATAAACAGGCCATGGGACCTCGTTGAAAGGTCTTTGGATGCTGGAATCAAAACTCAAGTGTCATCATCTATCCTGGGTATAATAAGCAGTTCTTCCACCGTCGGATCCAATACCGTCGTTCCTCTCATACTCGCGTATACTTCTCCTCGTCCAGCAACGTCTTCTCCCGCCAGCAATCTTCGACCCATTCCGCAGTCACGATATGTGGAACCTTACGCCTGCGACTGACTTCCCCCCGCAAAGCAGCGGCCACATCTTTCCGCCGGGTGCCATCTCCTACCATAACCATGTGCGTAGTCTCCAAGTCGTCGGCATCGCTGATCAAGCGTGCGCCGCCAAAGGTCAGATAGTTCCTGAGCTTCAACATCTTGATCTCGTCCTCGTCGTCTTCTTCGACATTGATCAAGTGAACGGCGCAACGATGGAACATGGAGCCCTTCATCGGACCCACCCCGCGGCCACGTTCCTCGAGCTGGTTGAGAAATTGCGTCTTGTTGAACGGCTCCGTGTCAGGCTCCTTCTTCGGCATTGTATTGAGAACTTCGCGCAGCTCGACAAGACTGATGTCGCGGGCGTAGCTGTCCCCGTACATATCCGTGTTCTGCAGTGCAACAGTCTTGAGAGCTTCCGTCGCATGTAGCAAGTGTCGCTCTTCGTAGGGAAGCAGCAGAGATTCATCAGCCTGTTCAAGACAGTCTTGAATCCACTTTGGCCTAATGATGTCGACGCCGCTGCCCTTTTGGCCCTCCTTGACCAGACTCGCGACCTTGACGACGTTCTTGTCCGCCAAGAAAATCATACCAGACTGCGGGACAGCCCGCTGAGACACCTGGCCGCCGTTCTCCTTGATAAGGGTCTCGAGCTGCGCCTTTGTCTTCTTGAACGGTTTCAACGACTCTGACAGAACGCAGAACTCGAGACCTTCGAATACCTTGGACTTGTCTGCCTGGAACTGTGCAGGCATGTTTTCCGTTCCGGCGATGACGACCTCGCGCTTGACGCGCTTGACAGACTTGCGCTTGCGGTTCTCGACGCTCATGGTCTTTTCTTTGGCCTCTGCCTCCACGCGCCGCCGTAGGTCCAGGAACTCCTGCACGCTGAGGCCCTCGTCCCAGTTCTTGTCGGTCCTCAGCTTGCGGAAGCGGGGGAATCGCAGGGTGAAGCCGAGGGAGAACTGGTCCGAGTTGCCGATGCTCGCGGCCTTGGCCTCAACAACGACAGAGTCGCTGGGTCGGATCCAGACATCCGGCCGTTCGAACTGACGGTCGCCGCCGGCGAGCTCGACGTATTCCACGGGAGGCTTCTTCGGGTCCCACGTGGTCCATTTCCCGTCCGTCCGATGTCTGATTTCCGCATAGTCGGCAGCTGTAAAGCCACCACCGACCTTGAAGAAGCTGAAACACTTCTCGGGGTTTGCGCCGGCTTGGATGTGGTTTTCGCTGACACGCAGGCCGCACAAGAAACTGGAGATGGCCCCACCTCTGTGTCCGGAGCCGTAGTAGCCGCCAATAACGACACAATCCAGCGACTCTCCGAACTCGGACATGTACTCCGGCTTGACTTTCAGCCAGTCGTCATTGCGGCTGTTGAGTCTGTACATCGACCTCGGGTTCTTGAGTACCAAGCCCTCCGATGCCTCGGCGACGACTTTGCGGAGGAGCGGCTCGATGGCGTCGGGTGTTGTCGCAGACTCGTATTCGTGGATCTCCAGTCTCCTATGAACACCTTTTACAGCCTTCTCTAGGGCACGGTGGCGATCCCGCAGCGTGTACTGGGTCAGAGGCTGGTCGTTCAGTAGGAGGATGTCGAAGACGCGGTAGAGCGGTCGCGGCCCTGTGTTGTTGTAGGGGTTGTTCTGCTCGGCTAGAGCGGCTGTTTTGAGGGTGCCGAACGGCATGATCTTGTCGACTTCCGGGTCCCAAGTAATCATCTCTCCATCTAGAATGACGTTGCGAACACCTTCGGAAAAAGCATCTGCCAGATGGCGAGTCAGAGCTCCCTTCTCATCTTTCAATCCGTTGCCGTAGAGGTAGGTGTAATCTTTCGCCTTGCGAGACCAGAAGCAGAATCGAAGCCCTCCCGGAACGCTCGGGTCTTCGGCTATGTGCATCTGCATGCGCTCGCCGTCCAACTTTTCCTCGATCCAGAATTCGGGGTCTTCCTCCGTGGTTCGGAGGTAATCGACCATCTTCTGGAAAGAGGATGGCATCTGGAACTGTGCCAGTTGGGGCTGGAAGCAATCCATAAGAGTGACACCCGTATCTTCCTGCTCCAGACGGATCCTGGGATCAAAAAGTTCCCAGCAAACGCGTCGCAGACTCGACGACACGCTAAACAGGGCCTCGCCGTCCGGATGCCACAGATCGAGAAAAGTCCGCTCGGTCGCGCCGACCTTCATCTGCTTGAGCACGATGCGGATCAACCACATAAGTTCCTCCGCATTCATGCGCTCGTAGAAGATTTCAAAGACCTCCAGGTTCTCCAGCTCTCCCGTCGATGCAGCAAGTTTATCCAACAACTCATTGACCTCGGCAATCGTCATGTCGCCGACTTCCGTCCGCATCGGTCGCTTGGAAAGTACCTCGAAACACCGGCCCGCAAAGTCGCCAGCCAGTCTAGAGAAAGTAGTCTGACCCGGCAACTTCCAGTGAAGGAGATTGTGGCCGTCTTCCGAGTTCTTGTCGATCTTCATGAGCTTGACAAGGAGTTTGCCAATAGCATTCTCCTTCAAGCCGTAGACGCCGCGATCCCGGTCCTTGTCGGGCAAAATGAGTCGCAAAGCCGGATAGATGTCGTTTCCCACCTCGTTTCGCCATCTGGAAATAAAGCGCTCAATGAGGTGCCGTCTCTGTTCCTGCGGCGATAGCTTGTGTGGTCCGTGAGGGCCCTTTTTACTGCGAGGTGGACCGCGACCGGCGGGTTGCTTCTTGTTCTCGTTCAAAGGATTGAAGAGGCTCTGGAAGAGTTCCGAAAAGCGCATCGTCTTTGAATGATTGCGTGGGCGATTTGGGTACCTGGAGTGGCATGTGAGCTCTGAGGCCAAGAAGGGGTAAAAAGAAGACTCACTTCTCGTTCAATTCTTCGAGTGTGGTTCCTCCAATAGCATACTGTCTCTCTTCCTCATCAATCGCCGCCGCGTCTGGCGACTTTTGTCGCTTGCGCTGGCTCATGGTGGGCAGTTCACTGCGTAAACTGGGAAGAGAATTGCGAGCCGTTGGCGACGGAGAATTCGTGATGATTTAGTGGAAGTGTGCGTTGTAGATGTTATGAGGCGGGCTTGAATATAATCAGTCGATTGTGCATGGAATAGCTGAGTGGCATCGCAACGGATCCCGACACATTGAGGGCCTTGAGGACTTATACCCTTCAATTGCGGCTTACCTGAGGCCGTTGAAGTTCAACGGTGGAGCGGTTGCCTGGGGATGCTGCCTGGAGGTAGATGCATCAAAGCGGGCGGTAATGCGGGGCACTCATCCAGTAAGAATCCCCGCTTAATTGCATCAAGGACATGCATCAGCAAAACAGGAAGACATCACTTTTATTTTCCTCAACACGACCATCGGCATCAAATTCAGGAACAGATGTTGGTTAAGAGCGAGATATTAAGCGGGATATCTCCCCTTTATATTTGCTACTTCATGATCTACGTCAATCATATCATCTCTCGTTCCAGGATTATGTTAAGCGCATAGTTGACACTGCCATCGAAGGCAACGCCATGCGTTGAAGTCGGGTTGGGGCAAGTTTAGTGCTGGGGACGGCTGTTGACGGAAGAAGTGTCACTGACAGCCTTCTCGGCATCCCAGCGCTGCTGCATGGGCTCGGTGACAGCCTCCTTCTTGGCAGCCTTCTTGCGCCAGAAGAAGAATCCAGCAAGGGCGAGCAGAGAGACACCGGCAATAGAACCGACAGCGGCACCAGCAATAGCACCCTTGGAGAGACCGGAGCTCTTGGATTCGCCGGCGGCGGTGAAGTCGGCAGCGGTGTGCGGGGTGTTGCCGCCCGAGTCGGTGGTGGTGACGTTGACGGTGGTGTCGACGTCGACGTCGGGGTCGCTGACGGTGGCGTTGAAGCAGGGGATGGAAGCGGCAAAGACCTCGACGAAAGTGACGTCGGCGCAGGCGTAGTAGGTCTCGCGCTTGGACTCGTCTTGGTCAAAGTTGGAGACGTAGAGCATGCGGTAGGTTGCGTTGGAGCCGGCGGCGGTGCCGGAGGGCGCGGTGGGGACCGTCACGCAGGTGTGGCCGAGGTCGAGGCTGCCGACCTCGCTGGGGCCGAGGAAGGTCTCGAAGTCGGAGGCAGACTTGGGGTCTGTTCGATCACGAAGTGTTAGGTCTACGTTTCCGAGAAGGAGGGAAGCAGGGGGGCGGTGTGAGAATGTTTGCACGTACCGTTCTCGTAAGAAACACTGAGGTGGACGGAGCGGGTGATGTCCTGGGTCACAAGGGCAAGCTTGCCGTTCACTACGTTGGTTTGATGTTAGAGTAGTCCGAGTCTCCGTGGGGTATGTCAACTTACCGAGAGGGAACTCGGTGCGGACACCGGGGCCGTTGGTGGATCCGCAAGGGGCCGTGTTGTCGGCGTCGGCAGACCACTCACGGTCTGGGGGCCTGATGGTAATTGTTTAGCCGCCGATCTTCGTTGAAGCCTGCAAGATGCAGTGGAGAAGATATTCTTACCAGAGGAAAGCGGCCGGGCCCATGTTGTCGGCGCCCATGACGTTGCCCAGCAGCATGCTGCCGAACAAAGTGACTGACTTGGCAGAGACCATCTTGAAGGTGATGAGAATCTTCTGGAAATGAAGCTCAACTTGACGAGTTGTCTGAGAAGGGGGAGGTCTGGTCTCAGAGAGCAAGGCTCGAGGCTCGAAGGATCACAAGGTTTGCGAAGAAACTTTGTGATGGGGGAGTGACTTGGGAGAGAGAAAAGAAGAGAACTCAAGTAGCGTGATATGCGGCCCTCAATATATGCCTGCGCCAATTCTTGTTTCTTGCTCTTTGTGATCTTCTACTACGGATCCAACCCAGCATCTGGGCGCCGAGCCCCAGCCAACCGCTTTCCATGCCGAGGAGAACCAAAATACCAAAAACGTAAGGTAACGTCCAGCCGGCGGGCTCATCCGCCAAGGTCGCGCTGAGCCGACGAAACCGGACGCCAACACCCCTGGCACTTCGATCGCGACGATGTGCCCTGGTCCATGGCGTGCGGTGTGCCTGACTGTAGCGGCCCACTGCTCGTGTGGTTGGCCCACCCGAGAGAGTTATCTGATGGGATCGCGCTGGGCCCAAGGCGCTCAGGAGCCCCGCAACGTTGTTTGGACTTTGTTCCTCTCTGGGTCATTTAGTTGGTTGAAACTTAGAGAAGAGACTCAAAAGTTCGCCAGGGGCAGAAAGATGGATGAGCGTGGGCCAGGTTGGGTGTAGATGGCTCCACTAGGAGCGGACATGGCTTCATATTATCTGATCATCTGATAAGATGGGCGCCCATCTCCTCATTGGCCAAACACATCGTCTCTGCATCACTAGTGTCCTCTCGGCGCCGTGGGACCGGCATCCACTTCCAGAACGACCAACGGGCACTAGGGGCCCAGCGTCTCTATCGCTGGGTAAGGTGCCACGGTGCTAGCTGGGTTTTCGTTCCCTCGGCGGCTCTCGTATTTGCCCCGGCTTCTTGACAATGGAAAACTCTTTTCAGTGTGTGAGTATTACTGACGGGTGTCGTGAAAGAGGCAACGGTTGTCCGCACGAGGTGGCAGCCCGTCCAGGGTGGTCGGTCTTGGCGATCACCCGCTTTCGAGGAACTGGATTACAGACGAACGAATCAGAGTTTGTTTAAGAATTAAACTCGGCCTCCGAAAGCTCCATCGCCGCAACGTCGGCGATAGCCCGGTGGCATGAGACCCTGCCTTTCTCCACGACTGTCTAACAGAGTCTCAGCGAGACCGGAAATTGGGCAGACTTTTTTTGTTGTCTGGCTGGTCTGCGAGACTGGGACTGTTAGTCAAACAACTTTGAAGAGCGGGCTGGATCGCGTTCGGTTCTGGCCTTCCGGATTCTCCCCAGTTTTCTGATGGACACGATGCAGTATCCGTACCTGAGCGGTTATTTTGGCTCGTTCCCGCAGAGGATCGGCGCGGGTTTGCGATCTGTGAGTTCGGTTGGCATGTGAATTGTTCGTCCGGTCTTTGAACGATAACTTCTACAAAGCCGCCATGTCAACGTGCTCGGCTGCGTTGAAGTTCCCATCAGAGCACAGCAAATTCTGTTACAAAGTACATTCACGGTCCAGAAATCGAGCAAGCCGGAGCCTCGCGAAAAGGTGGAATTTTACAGCAGTGGCTTAATTTTCTTCTTGCAAATTCGAATTCTTACTGATGGAGATGGGTGGCGACAGCTTCGGCGCGCTGCGCAAAGAACCAGCGTGATCCGACACCATCCGGCGGGATATCCGGAATCAGGTACTCACAACCCGTCCAGCTCCGCTTCAGCAATATCGATAGTCCCTCCCTAGCCGTTCTTCATCGTACTCTAAAAGTCTTGTCAGCCATCACGCCTTTGAACATTCCGCCACCGCCCCGCCTCAGTCTCGACTCCTAGGGTTGCCGGACTTGCGACTGTGCTGTCGTTCACATCCAGAGAACCCCCATGAGGTGACTTGGCCCGATGCCGAGCAAACGCCTGGTACTTAGATGGTGGGATGGGTCACTGTCCGCTCTGAATCAGGCGTCTTGTGTGGCCGGATTCTCGGGCCAATGCCCTGGTTCAGTAGCCCATGCTGTCTGCCACGACCGTGGCAGGCCCTTCGCTGGTCACGAATACTGGGGTTCTTTGTTCTGGTTAAGCTTGTAATCAAGCCCCCGCGCGGTTATGGCGGCACATCCGTGAGCCTTTTGTCACCGTGTGAGATGGTATGACTCCCGTTTCTTGAGTTCTGCTTCAGTCTTGCTACATGGCAACGTGAGCAAGACAGGTGTACACCAAGGAAAGCAATCCTCTGATTCATTCATATTACTATCAAACTGCCCGTGATGATATCCCGTAAGCAGCGAGGTGTTTGAAATTTGCCCGAGTATCTAAACGCAGATTCACGTCACTGCAAAACCGATACTACTAGAAGATTCCAAGACTCGGGAGTTCAACAAGCCCAGTTTTCGACACGAAATCTTCCAAATGAGCTGAAAAACTAGCCGGGAAGTCGAATCTCTTGTCAGACCCATGGTAAAGCGGATGCTTGCTTTGTCTGGACCTATTCCCAACGCGAAGGTGTGGTACCGGAACGACGAAGCGGCAAAGACATTCCAGCCGCCCACGGATTCCTTGGAGGGACTTTTGGGCATGATATCATTGGTGCTGAATCCAAGCCAGGAGCCATGCAGGATCCGTTGCGATAATAAGCCTGGTTTAGGTTCTGATGTGCCAGCTGAGGTGGGACGAAATTCGGCAGGGGTTCCGTGTTTTTTTTTGTTCACGTACAAATACATGGCTCGTGACTAGACCATCTTATCAACAGATCTGCCACCGCCCATTGAACAGAAATCGGAATATTTGTATTTGCGTAGAGAAATAATTATAGGGAGCTTTCCTACACGCATCAGTCTCGAGATGGATGACCGTGAACCGATAAATCTTTTGAATTTGTGCTTATATTAGTGTCCTCGAGAACACCGAGGGTATCAGATGTGTGAAAAACAATATTCACCGAGCCAAAGACACTCACAACAGGTTTTCCAAACCCTTTCCAGCAATGGAAGAACATGACCGGCTTGGGCCGAGACTAATAGGCACTTTTGACGGTGGGGGAGATCCGACTGGGTCAACAGAGGTGGAGTGATGCCAGTACGATTAACTGACATTGTTCAACGCAGATTCGCGGTATTTGCCCAACTTTCCAGGCAAATCCAAAAGACCTACAGACTGTGATCATATGCAAGCAGCGATTGTAATCTTGCTCAATAGTCCCACTGACCACTGTTTCTAGCAGCGAAACAGGTATGCCCAGTCATCAATGAAATCAGAAGGCTTGGCTATTAGAATTTGTATTCTGTAACTTTGGTACCTTTTCCACGCTCACCAGATGGTGTCTTTTAACCATTAGATTTCCATCAACTTTGTGTAAATTCTGTCTATCATCTCAGGAGGTGGAGACGCTGGTCCTATCTCAATAAACTATGCATACCTTGTACAAAAGGTCCCGTATGGTTTTGTACACTTCCGAGAAACCGACAAGCAGCCTTCTCGATAATGATAGCCTAGTCGCGAGAGGTAGCAAGAGGACTGCAACACTTTGATAGAATGTAACGTTCTCATAGCATCTGTGGTTTGGCTCTTTGTTTCTCTATTTCGAGCTTCGATAGCTTGAGACCTTTTTTCTCTCTCTTTTCCATTCGATGACACTTTTCTGGCCGCATTTCACAGATTTGAACACAGAGAAGTCTGATATACCTGGAAACTTATATTGAAAGCTCGAGGCAATCTGCCGTACAGTTGTCATGTGCGTCATAATTCCACTCTTTCTGGTGGCTTCGGAACTTGCTCGACTCTGCAATCACCAAACTTGGGGAGAATTCCGACGGGGTCGGAAGATCTCTTGGAAGACCGCGCTCCCTGCAAATACCGTCTATCAAGCTCCTCGCCGAGCTTGTCGTGACTGATTGTAACCTCGAGCCAGTGCTGATTCGTAACGTTCTTGTCATGCACCCAGACATTGCAACCATTACACTTGCCTTCTCCGTACAGAGTGATAGTATTGTAACCGTAGTCATTGCCAAATTTGAAATACTCGCCGAGTCCTCCCACAGCATAAAGCATCGCAACGGGATCGAAAGACCACTGCGGTTGGTAATACGTGTAGAGTATGTACGCCGCCCGCACAGGGTCAGTCCTGGGGCCGTCAGCCATGAGAGGACCGCCTGAGCGAACTGAACCGCCGAGCTTGAAACCAGCGTAGATAATGGGACTTGTCCAGTTGTGAATTACGTGTGCTGTCTGATAGGGATCGTCGCCCCAAAAATTGTATTCGAATCCGTTTGGATAGTCCCCACCCATGACAACGAGCTCTTTGACCTTGGTCTCGACTAATTTGGGGCCGGATAACGAGGACCGGGCATCTGCGGTGGAGTTGAGGAGGCCGGAGAGGTTGTGCAGGAAGCCGATGGAGGCTATCGTGACAGAGTCATCTTCTGCTTCGGAGAGTAGCTTGCGGTAGAGGTCGACAGGGTCCCAGGCCTCCTCGGCGTCGGAGATGCTTTTCGACCAGTACGTTGCTAGCTTGCTCGCGAATTCGCCGGCGCGCTTGGCCCAGTTGTCGAAAAATGGGACGTCGTTCAGCGGGCGGCGGGCCCCGATGGGGACTTGAGCGTGGTCATAATGGTTTAGGATGGCCGAAGCTGCGAGCACCGAGTATGAGGATTGGGAGTTGATATTTACTCCAAGGAGGTTGACTTCTGGAGATGTGGCGGCGAGAAGAAGAGCTGCCGCATCGCTGGGGTGTGTTAGAAAGGACTGGAATGAGTCTAGATGGACATGAGGATGACAGACTCACTCGCAATCGCTGAATAGGTCGGTGTCGACTATGAGGTTCTTCTTTGCTGACGAAATAGTGGCGAAGACGAAGAAGACAGTCAAGAGGCATGCAGTGATTCTCGACATAGCTCGGCCTTACCAGAAAAGACCTGATGTCGGCTCCTCTGACTTGCGATGCATTGGCCAGTATCTTGGCGCAAAAGGGAGGTTTCTTTCACGATCATCCCATGTCTAAGGCCTTCATAGAGGAGAGCACAGGAGAGCGCGGGGAAGAGAGTGAGGTACGTAGATATGACCTACCAGCTGCCGCCGACTGAGGGGAAATCTAGCCAGCTGTTGCGCCTGATGAGGCCGTACCTTTTTTTTAAGCGTCGCCAGTGATCGCCTTCCCCGCCAGCCCGCTAACATCCGCTGTGGGCCGAAACATCTCATCCTTCCTCCGTCTTCGAAGCCAAAACTTTAAGCCTCCCACCTGTTTACGTGCCACCAGACTTACACCGTTGGCATCGAAGCTTCACGCCAGTCATCGGCCTTGCGGATCCCTATAATCGGCGTGTCGGAATCACAAAATATTTATCTTCCCTGCAATGCTGAGGAATCGATGCCGACTCCCCGTCAAACATGAGGGTGCGCTCTCCTCCATCAAGCAATGTCGATGACGCACGAAGCATGTCTCTCCCCAATCTCGGCTCAGGGATGCACCCAACAAATAAGGTACGGTCAGCTCGAACCGGACGAGACAATGCGCAGCCTGCCGGGTTACGAGCAGATCCCCCACACGTTAAACCCACCAGGATCGTTCGGCTCCCCTCCACCGTAGCGAAGCCGTAGTCAAACACTGGAATAAAGTGCAGATCGGCATGCGTTCCGACTGCCGTTTGGTCAGCAAAGCCAATCAAGACCGCAGAGACGCTTCACCGGACGGATTGCGCCATTCGAGCTGAGTGCGACGTGGGAGCTGCCGCCGTCTGAATGCCTTGAGCCATAGGTGACACCCAAAACCTACAAAGTGTGGCGACCGCGTTCTGTTCATATGGCTGGTCTCGGCTCTCCACATTCAAGCCCTGAAACCTTCAAGACTCTTTGCTCATTCGGAAGGACGTCAAGATTGCCTCAGACAGATTGACTTTCGCGTGGTTTTGCAGTCTCTCTCTTTCAATAGGCATATATTGAGTCGCTTCGAGATGGGCACCGATACAGATCCCACGCGGAAGCTCGACACGGCGCAAAAGGTCGACTCGCATTCTGGTGCAGCCCACGATGGCAGCATTGACATCCACGGCATTGACGATGCTGCCATCATTCCCAAGGGTGCCCTAGACCCTGTCTACGAGGCTAAAGCCCGTGTACTGAATCGCGCTGTACGTTGCCATCTGGAAACACTTCCGGACTAGAGCACACGGCCGCTAACTTCTCGCTCCAGATTCAAGATATCGGTATGGGCTGGTACCAGTGGCAGCTCTTCATCGTCGTCGGATTCGGATGGGCAAGCGACAACCTTTGGCCAATAGTCACGTCACTCATCTTCACTCCGATTACCAACGAATTCGGTCCTTCTCGTCCGCCTCTACTTACGCTATCGCAAAACATCGGCCTTCTGGCAGGTGCCATGTTCTGGGGCTTTGGCTGCGACTTGTTTGGGAGAAAAGTGGCTTTCAACCTGACCCTCGGTCTGACTGCTCTCTGGGGTATGGCTGCTGCTGGTGCGCCCAGCTTCGCAGGCATCGGCATCTTCGCGGCCTTCTGGTCCTTCGGCGTCGGGGGCAACCTCCCTGTCGATTCAGCCATCTTTCTCGAGTTCCTCCCAGGAACCCATCAATACCTATTGACAGTCCTTTCCATCGACTGGGCCATTGCCCAAGTCATTGCGACTCTCATCGCGTGGCCGCTTCTAGGCAACCTCACCTGCCAAGAAGGCGCGACTTGCACCAAAGCCAACAACATGGGTTGGCGATACTTCTTGATCACCATCGGCGGCCTAACTCTGATCATGTTCTTGATTCGATTCGTCCTCTTTACGATCTACGAGTCGCCCAAATATCTCATGGGCAAAGGCCGCGACGAAGATGCCGTCCGAATCGTTCACGAAGTTGCAAGGCGAAACGGGAAGCTCACGTCGTTGTCTATAGAGGATCTGAAGGCGTGCGAGCCCGAAGGATACGTCGCGCACACCGATGCTGCCACAGCGGTCAAACGAAACCTGGAGAAGCTCGATCTTAGCCGTATACGTGTGCTTTTCTCTACCCGACGCCTGGCTCTGAGTACTGGCACAATCATGGCCATTTGGGCGTTGATCGGCCTAGGATATCCTCTCTACAACGCCTTCATACCGTATATTCAGGCCACCCGTGGAGCGGAACTGGGCGATGGAAGCACCTACTTGACCTACCGTAACAGTCTGATCATCGCGGTGCTGGGCGTACCCGGAGCGCTGCTGGGTGGCTGGCTGGTTGAGCTGCCTGCGCTGGGGCGCAAAGGCACCCTTGCCATCAGCACTGTTGCAACCGGAGTCTTCCTTTACTGTTCGACGACGGCTATGACTAGCAATGCGCTGCTTGGATGGAATTGCGCCTTTAACTTTTGCAGCAACGTCATGTACGCGGTGCTCTACGGCTTTACCCCGGAGCTCTTCCCCACTCCGCAGCGCGGCACCGGCAACGCGCTCACGGCGACCTGCAACCGCATCTTCGGGATCATGGCTGTAAGTGCTTGGTGCAAAGGCTGGGAGATCAATGCTGACACAACACCTGGCAGCCCATTGTCGCCATGTTCGCTAATTTAAAGACGTCGGCTCCCGTCTACACCAGCGGCGCGCTCTTCATCGCAGCTGGACTTTTGGTGCTTATATTGCCGTTTGAGTCGCGCGGAAAGGCCGCTTTGTAATCCGTTATTACCGTCTAGACGCCTCGTCAGCGTCTTACATCTGACGGCATGTTAGAACTCATTGTGACCTTCCTCTCGCTGCCGAGCAAGGTATACCGACATGGAATTGTTGAAATGATCATGGACACCGCGAGTTACCCTCATGGAGTAATATCTGACTGTCAACGTCGGGACGAAACCGCTCCGGTACTCGGCCACTGTCCGCGGAGTAGGATAAATGCGTATCTACTGATCAGCAAACTACACGGTCGTGTTCTTGGCGAGCGAGGTTTAGAGAGCCTCCAACCCGAACATCGGCAACTCAATATGAACCCGTGGACCCATTGCAGTCTTTCGGAGTGATTCTATACGTCAATGGCAGAAAGCATATCTCGCTACGGGGAGCCCAAAGTCTTGGCGACATGGCCACTGCCCACCGTTATCTGCACCCACGGGGATTCCCCCGCTTTCCCCTCATCTTTTCTACTGAGCTGCCTCATCCAGTTTCGTTGCCAATGTTAACACTACTTCGAATCGGACCTACAATGAGAGCCTTGGTGGTTTTCAGTATCCCACTGCCGGTCAGCATCGGCAATTCCTCCGACATTGGCTGAAATATCGACCATCGACTCCGGAATGAGATCAGCCAAGCCAACGGTCATGTCAGGAACCATCCCCCTCCACGCGTTGACGAGCCATTTTGCGCTGCATGATGCTACGCTGCCCTATCGCGACTTTGGTACCTTGCGAGAAAAAGAGTGCTGTTAAAAGGGACGAAGCCGCCCTACTCTGGAGCAGCTCTGTCAGATGCTGGCCTTGCTTCGTTCCGATACTTATCGGCTTTTCATACGTTGTCCAGCAAAATGGTCGCTGCATCTCGCCTAAGCCTGCTTGGCTTGACCCTACTCTCGTCTGTCCGGGCGGCGAAGTATGGATACAACCACGTAACTGTGCGAAAGGACACGGACATCGTCGCCGCCAACTTCAAGGATATCGAAGGCGTCGATCTGCTGTCGCCTGCATTCTTGAACCCGGAAACGATTCCTGCAGGCTTCTCTGATGGCACACAGGGCCCGACAGATGATGACCTCCTTGGTAAGCTTTCAACGAGCAGCTTTGTCTAACCAACGGCTAACGTATTCAAAGACTCTTTTGTTCAAGACTTGGCCGACAAGAACGACTGGTTGACTTACAACAAAGCCAACTTCACCTCGGAGGAAGGCCGCCCGTTTCCTTACCTTCACCTGTCCTCGACAAAGCTGTCTCGTAGAGTTTCAAACTCGACTGGCAAGGTCCGGGTTTGGGTTCAAGGCGCTGTGCACGGAAACGAGCCAGCTGGCGATCAGTCGCTTTTGGCGCTCCTCGGGGCCCTGGACGCGAACCAGACATGGGCTGCGTCGCTCCTCGAGAAGCTCGATATCGTTATTCTGCCTCGGTACAACCCCGACGGCGTTGGCTACTTCCAGCGCACCCTAGCCACCAACTACGACCCCAACCGCGACCACGTCAAGCTCGCACGCAAGCAAACCCGCGACATTAAGACCCTCTTGGGCGAGTTTGCCCCCCATGTCGCCATCGACATGCATGAGTACAGCGCGACCGCTCGCTACGGAAGCTACTACCATGCCGCCGACGGTCTCTTCTCTGCCGCCAAGAACCTCAACATCCACCCGGACATTCGCACGCTGTCCGAGGAGGTCTTTGCCAAGAACATTGGCTCGGATATGGAGGCCCGGGGCCTTCGCTGGGAGCCGTACGTGACCGGCTCCACAAGCACCAACCCGGCTTTTAAGCCTACCTTCGCCGAGGCCGGCTCGGATGCAAAGATTGGTCGTAACGCCATGGGCCTTACGCAGTGCGTCACCTTCCTCATCGAGATGCGCGGCATCTTCCTCGCGGACCAGGAATTCCAGCGCCGCACCGTAGCTGGCCTGACCATGGCCTCGAGCATCATCCAAACCGCCGCCGACAACGCCGAGAAGGTCTACACGACCATCGAGTCCTCCATCGCCGACTTCGCCTCTTCCACCTCGGAGATCATCGTCACGGACTCCTCGCCGCTCGTCCAGCGCACGTTCAAGATGGTCAACATCAACAACGGCTCTGTCACCGACGTACCCATCAACTTCCGCTCCACCACGCCCGTGACGGCCAACATCACCCGCGCCCGCCCCGAAGCCTATCTCATCCCCGTCGCCTGGGCCGATCTTGCTGAGCGCCTGCGCGTGTCTGGTCTGGAAGTCGAGACTCTTAGCGAGCCGTATGTCGGTACCGTGGAGGCGTATGACATCACGTCGGCCGTGTTCGAGACGGAGTACTACGAGGGCGTCGTGCGTGCTACTGTGACGACGGAGGCGCTTACCAAGGAGGTGAATCTGCCCGCTGGCAGCTTCCTTGTTAGCACCAGGCAGAAGAATGCTGCTCTTGCGTTTGTGGCGCTTGAGCCGGAGAACATTGATTCGTATGCTAGCTTTAATATCGTTCCTGTTGAGGCTGGGGATGAGTACCCCGTCTACAGGGTGTTGGCATAATTGCGCCACTAGAGATGATAGATACATTATTAATACAATCGTTGAAAGAAATTTCATCATTGCAAACATTTCCAGCAAGAGCTCCTTTGTCGAATGTGTGAGTACATCACGCCTCAAGCTTCCTCCGCCACTCAATCACCCCAACATCCTCCCTCCCCGTCATGAACCGCACCCCGCACCTCAGCATTTCCGCCAACACCTCCATCTCTTCCTCATCCCGCGGGCCGTAGACCATGAGATACGAATCCGCCAGATGCAGCCTGTTGGCGAGGAAGGAACCCTTGGGTAGGGAGAGGCGGTGGCGCTCGGCCCAGCGTTTTTGGATGGCGAGTTTGGCGTCGGCGGGGGAGAGATAGAGGTGGATGGAGAGGTCTGTGTGGTGGTGGGCTATTTCGCCGCGGGCGATGACGGGGGTGGATGAGGATGAGGAAGAGAGAGAGGAGAGGATTTGTGGGTGGAGGAAGAGGGCTGAGTTATTTCGTTCGTAGAGGGAGAGTTTTGTGGTTAGGAGGGAGGGGTTTTGGGTTACCGCGTTGGCAAAGAGGTTTTCAATAAACTGGTCATGTCAGTCAACTTTTCACACAAGCTCAGTCTCATATCTGAGCCGAGGGTTCACGATGTATTACCTCTCTCATCTTCTCCGGCGCATGCTGACTCAACTGCCGATGCGGCACGATCCCGCCCAACTCGGCCCTCTCTCCCTTCCTCTCAGGAAGTTGCTGGATCTCGGCGTGAGATCCATTGTCTGGATAATCGCCCGTCCAGGTGGCTGAGCTTTTGGAGAGGGCGAAGGGACGGAGGCCGAGGGTGACGAGGAGCCAGCCTAAGGCATTGTGTGGGACGCCGCCGGGGCCGAGGGCGATGTAGGCGCGGTAGTCGCGGTAGGCTGCCCAGAGGAGGGGTGTTGCGAGGGTGGTGAGTAGGGCTGGTAGGGTTGAGCGATTGCGGAGGGAGTGGAGGAGGGGGTTGAGGCGGTTGAGGATGGTTGTGAGGGGAGATGTTGTGGGTTGTGACATTTGGTTGTATGTGTGAGGTTTGGGGGTTTGAGTAAATGTCAGTTGTGAGATAAGTGGTAAGATCGTTGAATACTACGTGATATTATTATAATGAGTACGGAGTGAGTACGGAGTGAGTTGAATGAGTGATAATGAGGCTGAGATGAGAGACGTTCGGGGATTTTGGGGAAGAGCGGGCGGGAGATCCGGGGAAGTGGGGTTGGTCAGCCGGAGGGCCGTGCAAATGCATGTGGTCGGATGCCGAGGAAGACCTCTCCTCATCTACTCGCTAAGTAGCCTCAGCTTTTCTCACACAAATAATAGGATCAGACGCGGCTTTTGGCAGCTACGGATCTGTAGATGTGTTTTACTTGAGGCTTCTGGAATGGTGTTTGAAAGGCAATGAGCGACTCGGCCAGATCTGAACTACAAAGAAACCGTCGACATGGGTAGGGTAAAAGAGCGTGGTGAGCAGCAATCCAATGTTCAAAACCACGAAGCCAGCCACACACCCAACTCATACATCGCAGAACCCACGGCGCAAGCTGCAGACTTGATCTTCTCCCACACCCAAGAACAAAACACACCTATCTTCTCCCAGGCCCATGCAAGCTTGGCCTTGAGCCACCTCCACAGTCGTTCCCAATCGATCAGATACGTAGACCCTGCTGCTGCTGCTCCGAGGCCCACGCCGGCGCAGCAAGCCGCTCCAGCAACACCAGCACTGAAATGGCCGGTTGCTAGAAAGAACCCCAGGGGTCCAGAGATGAACACGCCGCTCATGTTGGCCCAAATGACACCACCTGCTCCGACCGTCGTAGATGCCAGCCCTATGATTGCAGCAAACAATGCCTTCAATGTGTCGAGTCTGCCACGACCACCGCGAGGGTCGTCGCCTTCGGGGATTGAACTCTCTGCTGAGTTAGACGAATCTGAGGACTTCTGGAACTCTGAAATGTCCGTTTCGATTTTCACAAGTTTCTCCTCTTCTTCAACTGTTACTGTGGCATTACCTCGGAAGCACACAGTGTACCTCTGCAGTAAATCGACAATGGCTTTCAGAGCCGGGTAATAAATACCGGGGTCGGGCAGATAGACATGGCTGCCGACCCTATCGTAACCCCAGCGATGGACAGGCACGTTACAATATGTCGATTTCTCGTCGACGAGAAGTTTGCATGGTATGTTACCCCTAATGGCGCCGTAGATTCGAACGGTGAACTCCTTGATGACGGAGGTGACCTGACAGTAGATTGATTCGATGGCAGAGCTGACGACGATGTGAAGTTGCGTGAATTGAGAGCGACGTTTATTGTTGACCTCTTGCTCAATGGTATCTTGGAGTGCGCTCGGTCCGCAGATGAAGATGCGTCGAGCTGGGTGCACAACGGGCGAGTAAGTTAGCGATACGAAGTCTCCCACGAAGATCTTGCAAGTCTTATGAAGGGCGGTGGTTTCTTACCGCATGTCGAGTTAGGCATGCTACGTCTACTGTCCTTCACACGCTGTTCCTGCTTGGGATGGACCACGGCGATCACCAAGGCATCTTCTTGGCTGACCTGGTGTATACACTTTTTCCAGATGACCATAGCATCTGTTTCGTAGGCTTGATCCATGGAGTTTAATGAGCCCCCCGATCGGGTTACATGGCGAGGAACCATCGAGCTGTTCTGGGCCATTGGAGGTGTACGTGTTGGGATCTTTCCCACGAATGTCGGCTTGCCCCTGGACACAGGCTTACCCCGAGATCTGGACGCCTTGGTCATGACTTTGGCGGAAGAATGATGTAGAAGGATGAGTCAAGTGATGCAGGAAGAATAAGAGTGAAGATTCTATCATTATTCCTGGAGAGGACTGCTCGACAGTCCCCTCTTATAGATGACTTCTCAGTGAGCCTTGACCTCGTTGTCGACATGGTGATGGCTTTACTCACTGCGTTGATTCATGTGACGGGTTCTATGATCTAGACCGGCGACAAGACCGCGAGAAGAATACTCAGGTACAGCCGAAGGGCAACCGCGATAGCCACGTCTGGTTTCACAAAGACGGGGATGAAATGCAACTGTTGCGAGAGGGGATTCAAGATCGACCCAGTGAGTACCAGCCGTTTCCTGCTGGGCGGCGCATCGTGCAACCGCGCCCACGTACAGGAAACCGACTTGCATATGAGGGTTTAGGAACGATCCAATCATCGCAGAAGCACGGCGGACATCTCGACGAACCGACCCCACCAAATGTTGCCAAAAATGAGGCTGTATGGCGGACAAGTTGTCTAACTGCTTGCACCGTTACACACAAAAGAACCTGATGTACTCTGTTTTCCTCGACTTCAATGCCCCGGAAACCTGGATATGTGTGGGAAGTTGCACAAACCTTTTGACAGTTCTCTAGACCTCGGACAAGGTCCATCTTCTTGCGACGTTACACCTGGTTGTCATGCATTGGGCACCGAATGATTCGCTCCAATCCCCCTCATCGTACGAGGAGGCACAGGAGGCTCATGGAATGGCTTCGATACAGTACTACCAGGCACCAGAGAATCATCTCATCCAACACCATTCATGGGAGTATGCGGACCAAGTCCTCTCAACTCTCTTGCAGAATGGGACTGCCTTCTTCGAAACACCTCTTTAGTCCGGCAACTATGCAGAGGGTTATCTACCTGTTACCTTGGAAGTGTCTGCCAACCATATGCTTCTCTCCGACGCAAACTTTGAGAGCGAAGTCGGTACATTGGGGTTAGCTGGTCTCAATGTAAACACCTTTCATCAAGTAACAGATATGATGAGTCCTCAGCACCATGACCATCCATACGCTTGGGATCCATTAGAGATGATTCCTCAAGAAGTGAGAGTGGATTGTTCCGCTTTCATGATGCTTGACGACTCCTCTATTATCAATGTTGATTTGCATGGCAATGGCGAGATAGTAACTATTCATGAGAAATCTTCAACATCGAATGACATGATGTTATTTCCAGAAATTTCGGTGTCTTTTGCTGGGCCATCAAATGCTCGGCAGATGAGATTTACTGAGCCGACGGGGAGATGCGAAGACTAACCAATTCCAGATCCCTCCTCCCACCCCTCCCTCCTCTATATTGCAACCGCCAGCAAGTCGAAAGACAATTCGCAGCGCGAAGAAGGTATCCCACTCTGATACGAAATGGAAAGAGCTTCGAAAAGATCACCTCAATCGTCTCTACATCAGGGAGAATCACACCCTGGATGAAGTAGTCTTTGAGTTGGCCACCATCCACAACATCGAGATTGGGTAAGTTGTTCATTAGATATTCTCACACTCCTCTTCGTATAATGAATGAGTCGCTCATCAGACCCATCAGAAAGTCTACTATCGAGAGACGACCCAAGGATTGGCCGGAATTCTCAGAAGACAACGCCAGCCAGCAGCACCAACAAGATGGCGTCTCGCCTCGCCGACGTCCAGCGTCGTCATCGATGTCCTTGAGATCAACCCCGAACTCCCCTTTTGCACAGTTTCCGCTTATCTCTTTGAATATTACAAGTAGACAAGCCGAAGTCGACAGGATGCAAGAGTTATTCTGAGAGCTTTGTCAAGGAGGTTTCTTTGTAATGTTCAGATATTTACCACTCGGAATGAAGGATGCTCTTTTGTCCGCATTGAGAAAGCATTGTACAATCCCATTGTCTCAAGTTCAACTACATTGATGCGCTGGCCATCATCCCTATTACCCTCCCTTGGCTTCTTTGACAGATCCCATAAGACCCATTCCAAGGAAACTACTCGGCAACATACTTGCAAAGAGAGAAAAACAGAAAACAGTCATCTCCTTAGTTTAGTCCGCCATCGGGAAAAAGTCATTAGTACGATATCAAGATAGATAAATGAGACTTGGACGCATGCAATCACCAACACAAACGCAACTCATCATCTTATGCAAAGTCTTCTATTGCGCATCACACTCACACTGCAGTACATACAGCTGGATCGTTAGAAACCTCTCAAATCAAACGCATATCACAATGGACCAACTCAAAAAGCTCACCCGCAAGGTAAAAGCAACCCTCACCGACAGCCCCCCCTCCTCCCCCGAAGAACCCCCTCGATCCTTCTTCAACACAACCCCTCCCCCGCTCCTCCGTCGAGTCTCCAACCGCCTCGCAACAGGCCTCAAAGATCTCAGAGACCGCGGGCCCCCTCCCTCTCCCTCCTTCCGCCCTCCCCAAAATGAATCCTCCAGCAGCCTAGTCCCCATCATCCGAAGCCTATCCCGCCGCGGCGCTGGTGGCGGTAGAACCAGACTGATCCCCCACCTCCCATACCGCATCCCGGACCCGGACCCCATGGCATCCTCTGGCGGCGGAAGAAGCACGAACCCGGGCGCCGTGAACCACATCCGCGATAAGTTTGTCCGGTGGACGCCCCGTCCGGACGGGGAGTACGACGCCCGTTGGAAGGGCGCCTGTATCCCGACGGGCGAGCACGTGGCGAAGATGCTGGAGTGGTATACCCAGCGTGACGTCTACGAGTTTCCCTTCATCGGTACCGTCACGCGGATGAGCTGCGGCGCGACAAACGCGTTCTACTTTGTCGAGTTCGAGCCCAGTTCCAGACCCGTCGGCCAGGGTAAGGCGTCGCCGCTCCCGCGACAGGTGATCCTCAAGCTCAGCCTGCCCGTGTGTCCCCACGAGAAGCTCGAAGCCGAGGTTGCGGCGATGCTGTTTGCCAGGCAAGTATCCCCCGCCGTGGTCCCTCAGATTCTCGTCTTTGACTCCGTCGGTAGGAACCCGCTCGGGTTGGAGTGGGTGATTATGGAAGTGCGCACCGGGTTCCCTTTGCTCAGTGCGTTCGAGGAGAACTACATCCTCGCTGCGCACGATCTAAACATGGCTAAGCAGGATACTGGCTTGGAAGGGTTCGGGGACATATCGCCCGAGACGATGCCGTCCCTGAGCGACGAGGACACGAAGGCCATTGCGAGGGAAGTACAGCTGTTTCTTTCGGAGTTGCAAGGCTCTCTACCGACCATCCCTAAGAACCAGGTGAGTATTGGAAGTCTTCGGATCGACTGGTCAAAGAAAGAGTTCTTCACCGGCCCCATAGTCCATCCTCACTTCTACAGCTCTGACAGATATTGGCAAGTGCGGAATAACGGGCCTTTCAGATACATTGAAGATTACATCGACGCCTACACGTCGGTCTGGGAGCCCGAGTTCATAAGTCATCCCGAAATCAAAATACGGATACGAAAGTTGCGAGAGATTGCCCGGGCAATGGCAAGCCGTGTGAGGTTCAGTGTCCCGAATCCGATCGTGGTCGAAAGTACTGGTGGCAGCGTGGACGGCTGGCCTGTCAGTTTAGTTCATCCTGATCCTCACCCAGGCAACATTCTCTTCAACGGAAACCGGAAATTGGCGAGCATCATGGGTTGGGAAGATGCGGTCTTGATACCAGCGCCGCTGCGCAACCTGCCCGCAGCATTAGATTGGGCGATGCAACTCCACGGAGTGACTGATGCCATTGATCCTATGCAGGTGAATGTGGTTGAGGCTTTGCCCATTCGCAAAGAGCGAGTACTACTGACGCTGCAGGAATGGGCAAAGAGACGTGTCTCCGAGTCACTTGAACCTGTGATGAACTTTCAAGGGGGGATCGATGCCTCTTTCCAAGCATTGAAGATAGCCTGCGAGGAGATGATGCGGCAGAGAAGTATAGATTGGATTGAGCGTGTCCATTCCCAGCTCGTTGGCCAGTCTCACAGGGAAAGGTAGGTCAAGCCTTGTGTGCACAGAAGGCGCGGGTAGGGTAGAAGTTCATAGACAACCCAATATTCTGACAACCATGCAAGAGGTTCTCTCACACCGACGTGCAAAGTGATATGGAGCAAGGGTGTAGATAGCCTCACACTCTGTGAGGAATACTGCGCCCCATCAGTGCAGTCAAATGAACAAGATCGAAGTAGATCTTGGGGGACGGCTGTTAGGAGGAGGTGCTCCGGGGCCCATGCATCCATCACATTGAGGATAAATAAGGCTTGGCAAGGTATCCTTGTGAGTTCGTGGGGCCATCAGCCGCGTGAATCAAAATGGGGGTAATGACAGGGATGGCAATGAAAATGTGGTGGACTGTAAAAAATTGCTTCACCAAGTACCGAGTCCTGAGTCTTGTGACAGTTCATGAAGCTTGGAACAGGGCAGACAAAAGCAAAGCGGCCGTCATGTAGAGGCTTCGGGCCGCTCAAAAGTTAGAAGGGAAATTGCAGGCCGAAGGAAATGAGTTCACGGTTTGGTGATGCAGTGGCGTGCCGAAAGACAGAAGAATGGCGTCACAGGGAGCTGAGATATCCGTGAGGTGCATCGCACTAATGACCGGGCCTTGACGTCATGGATTGCAGGCTGGTGCTTTTTTGGGGGCTGGCCGCTGGTGGTGTGTGTTTGACTGTTTGCCGGTCGATCGCGATTCCCGAGAAGGAGAAGTAGGTATGAAGAAAAAAGGATAGAGGAAGACGCTATGCCATGTGTAGCGTGCTAGGTAGGCCACTAGGGAACAAGAAGATGGCGCGCATCGAGAGGATGCGTGGATGCCAAAAGACAATGATGACAAGAAACCAGATCTTGATAGAAGTGAGATGGGGAGATGGGGGACAGCTGGACGAGCACCTGAGAGCTCACAGACTTGTCATTGACAAACCTGGACTCGGCAGGGCTTGAACACGTCTAGACTAGGCGATTACGTGTCAGTGGCCCGTAGCGGCATCCACCGCGTGACGAATTGGGAGCATTTGACAGCAATAAAGTGACAGAAGGGGAGGTGATCGTTGGACGACGTCGTCTGAGCAAGGCTTGAACGGGTTGCGATGCCGCTGCCAATGTGCCAATGATTGGCAATGCAGAATGCAGAATGCTATGGGTTCAAGGTTAGGTTAGGTTAGGTTTGATGGAGCATTGGAGAGACCTGGAGACTGGAGTCCTGGGACGCGGCGCTTGCCAGATCCTTGCATCAGTTTATTCCGAATGCCGTGATGATCCCGGCCTTGGCGCGTATTGTTTGATGAATGGCAAGTGTGGCGTATTTGGCGAATTGAGCAAGTATTGAGGGATGCCAAATTGTAAAGGCCTAGACGTTCTGTGGCTGTGGAGGAGAAATCATCGAGTGTGGCCGGGGTCGAGTGAGTGTGTGAGTGTGATTGAAACGCAGAGAGCATGCTGATGTTGCAGCCCTCTCGCAGCTCTTGGGATGCTTCGGATGCATCTGGTTGGGAGGACGGTTACATTTTGCGGAAAGGATGAGAATGCATAGGGAATAATCTCCAGAACTGGTGAGACGTTGAGCAAATCATCCGTCAAAAATTGACCAGCGACCATCGTTCAGCGGGAGGCAGAGACATGTTTCTTCCCGGTCATGCTCCTGCCTCCCGTCGTCTTTCTGTTGGTTGGTCAATGGATAATGGCAGGGAAGGAGCAAGGACGGGGAGGGAGGAGGGAAGGAAGGAGGAGGACGGGAAAGGCTAGAACCGAGCTGAAGTGGAGCCAATCAAGCACCATCGGGTTCCCCATGTAGCTTTGTAGCGTTGTACCTCCTTCCGCTGCACGTTCAAAAACCCAAGCGCGGAAAGAGAGAGACGTTTAGCGTGAGAATGCCTGTCGCGTCCAGACCCGCGCTTTCGTTGACATGACGACATGGGCCAACACCACGCCATTCACATCGAGGACACAAAACTTGTTGGAAGTTGCGATGGGTTGCTGAAACAGTCGGAAATCCCATGTGCCTATGTATCGCTACCGCTACCGCTACCGCTGCAGTCTCCTCATGGCCTCCCCCAAGGAAGGCAGCGTGTCGTCTCGATCCAGTCCCAAAGTGGGCAGAGTGGTGTTTGAGACACAACAAATCAACGGGATATTGGACAGGGCCTTGGGCCATCCACACCGGCGCACGCAGCTCGCAGCAGTGCAGCACGCAGCACATCCCTTCTGCATCCCGTCATATCCTGGCGCACATCACCAAGTCAGGTCGTTCAAAGATGCCAGAGCCCAATTAGCGATTCGCGAGGTCGACGGACGGTTTGTTCCACAGCTGTCTATCTAGCCTGAATGGCACCTGATGGGGGAATAGGGAAGATGATAGTGGGATAGAGGCTATCTAGCATCCTGGGGATCGGGACTTGGGAGAAAGACAGTCACCACATCCAAGCACAGCAGGGAGACTCTACGGTGATACGAGGCATTGACGTGAATAGCGTCCGAATAGTCGAGCTATCCACCGTTGACAATTTCAGACAGCGCCTACCTAGCACCAAACTCTCCTAGGTGATCTGATATCCGTACCGGTAGTGCGACAGAGATCCCATCACGAGGGGAGGCTGGGAAACGGTTGTCTGAGAAGCACCCGCCCGGACGCTTGTACTTTGTACTGTACATGTACCAACTTTCCGTGCTCCCTATGATCTATCCACCAACCTGCCTGACCTACATCGGACCATTTTGCAACAATAAAGGAACCCGACAGTCGCGAACAGCGGCGGCTGTGTGGTGCGGAAGTTGGCAGGAGTCTAGACCGTATTGTTCAAAAGTCTGCATCACCTACAGGATAGCCCGGAGACGTGTTGCCGGAGATGTGTCTACTGTCTAGTCACTCCAGACCCAATGCGTCGATGCTGGTGGTGTGTTGCTTGGTGAGAGAATCGAACAGGGTGAAAAACTATCGACGATGTTCGCTGTGCTCTGCGATGGACGATGAACGATGTCGAGATGTTGTCTGTCACCCAGACTGCGCAAAACGCACCAGGTGGGACCGCTAAGAAAGTGGGTGCGAATCTCCCCAGGCCACTAATGCGAATAGGAGACGTGCTAAAAAATGCCAGTGCTTCGCCAGCTGGAACTCAGTCACCTCAATCTGGCGCTCCAATTGCTTGGTACTTGGCCCAGCCGAGGCGAAGCAGGGGCATACGCATAGGGGCTGGATTTCTGAAGCAAGCACCTTCGCAAGCAAGGCAGGGGCAGGCAGGTTCAGCTGTGGTTGACCTCGCTTCTTTCCCCTAGGATTTTGTAGGTATTCACCGGCTGTGCATGCGCGGAAAAGATACATTGTCCTCAGGCAAAGAAGGTACCGATCTAAGGTACCTAAGGTAGGTACTCACCTGAGGTGGTCTGAAGTTCTGACGGGTGCGGGAAGGTACCTACCTGCCTCCCTCCACCCAGGATCACAGCACGCACCTACCTGCCAAAGTTGCCGATGACGTAGTGCATCAAATTCCTGCCCCCTTCCTTCACGTCACCGTCACCATCGCCGAGTTCCACGACCAGACGGGCAGGCAGGACCATCTGGGGCACCCACAAACACCAATCTTTTGCTAGCAGGGCCACGGAAGGCACGCAGGGCAGGTACCTTGTAGCGGCTATCCGTAGACACAACTATTCATCCAAGGGGAGGAAGGAACCATTGTGAACCGGGCTGGAAGGACCAAGCTCCCACTGCACCTGCACCTGCCTTCTCCTAATTGGAAAGTACCGGGCCCGCCTCCTGCTGGCTAAATCACCGTAGTGAGGTGGGCGAACGCCTGCCACGCGCGTTGCTTTGCCGCCTCCCTTCCAAATATTCGTTGGCCCAGTTTCATTCTGACGCAGGCCTTTTTTTTTTTTTTTTTTATCAATCCTTACCAGGTTCTGTTCCCTGGATACACGACGCCAGAAAGAAGGTATAAACACCTCCTCGCCTACAGTGCCCCCTTCTTACAGACCTCTTCCTTTTCTTCCTCATCGATACGATACCTCTTCCTGATTCACCCTTTTTGAACAGGAACACAATCTTGGCGATTCTCATTATACCCAATTTCCCTGTGATACCCCCCCTCCGAAATACCCAATACCACGAATTCCCTTTTTTGTCCTGTACACCACTACCGATAATCACCCTACCTCATCTCAACACCTCCCAAAACAGAATTCAACAAGCAGTTTTCATTGCGCGATAGCTACGATACCCCCATCATGTCAGCAAACGTCAACAAGCCGACGGACCTCAAGCAGAAGGAGGCCGACGTCAACCGCAAGCTTCAGCTCTATGGCATCCTCTCCGCTTTCCAGGCTGGCAAGGTTCCTTCGGTACGTCGATGCCGGCATGGCGGCAAGGACCCACGCGGCCCCCGCCGGGCTGATCCCAGACCCGCAACCCTACATCATTGCATGATACTGACGTGGTCCTTCGCAACAGAATGACCAAATCGATGTTGCTCTGAACATTTTCTTGGCCTCCAAGGCTCTCTCAAACCCTCCCGAGAAGCTCTCCCCCGAGGGCCGCGCACTGATCGCCGATGCGCGTGAAGTTGTCATCCAAGCCAAGAACCTTTTGTTGTCCAAGAACCAGGGCAACTTGATCCAAGACTTTATCTGGCAGACTGAGCAATTCGACCCCAAGGTTGTGGACGTTCCTGGTGCCCCTGTCAACAAGGAAGTCGCTCAGCAGCATGGCGACAAGGCGCTAGAGGGTCTGCGGACCCTGGGAACTTTGCTCATCACCAACGGACAGTTCCGCAAGCTCCGTGAGTTAAACAGCGATTTCTTCCCCATTAGTCACAGTCTAAGATCATTCAGTCAAGGATGCCACCGTCCTTCTCCGGGACATGGCTGGCGATGCCGCTACCAACGCTGCCCAGCGTGTTCGTCCCTCCGGTGAAGCCCTTCAGGACATGGATCGCCCTGCTGAGGACAACACTTGGCACGACGCCCCCGACTTCTCCAAGGAGAACTTCAAGAAGCAAGCTCAGGGTGTCTACAAGGGCTCTCCTGCCGATGATGCTCGGGAGGTTCTCGCCGCAGGCACTCAGGCTGCTCACCCCAACGGATCGCAGAATCCCAATGACCTGGCTGCGACTGCCGCTCGCGATCAGCAGCAGGGTACCAACTCGGGTGTGAATGCCCAGGGTGGCATCAACGCTGCCCGCGACGTCATCCAGAAGAAGTACAACGAGAACGTCGATGGCGAGACCAAGGAGCAAGCACGTCAGCGCAAGGAGGAGTACCTTCGCCGTTCCAAGGAGTACTTCAACAAGAAGATGCCCCAGGAGCGCAAGGACCAGACTATCTGGCGTCTGAAGAAGATGGTGCTTGAGTGCCAGCAGCACCCCGATTACGCCCAGGCCATTGAGACTCTTCTCAACCTCGCCGAGGAGTACGCTGGCCACTCCCGCACTCTGGCACAAGGTGGAACTGGTACCGTCAAGGACGCCCGTGCCGGCCTCGCTCAGGCCGAGTCTGATCTCAAGACGCTGATCGAGCGGTTCGCCAACGGCACCTCGTCCGAGGATCTCTTCGAGTCGATCAACCAGATCTACCGCGATGCTGACAACGATCGCGAGCTGAAGGACTGGTTCAAGGCTATGGACCGATACGTCCGCCGCTGCCTTCTCGAGCAAGGATACATCCTGGACGAGGACTCCAACCAGGAATGGAACCACCTTTACGACCATGGTCGTTACTTGCTTCGCGAGAAATATCGCGCTCACACCGACCGTGTCTTTGACGAGATCAAGTTCTTGATTGACCAGTTTGATCAGGACCCTCTCAACAAGCGCTTCGGTCTAGCCGTCCAGAAGCTCTTTACCGATCTGGGCAATGACGAGAACGGCAAGCCTACTTTCAAGCCTCACTTGCTGAAGGATCTCTCAGAGGTTATCATTCCCGGCATCTTCGAGAATGTCGCCTACATCCCGGTCCCGCGTCTCGAGTACAGCGACCCCCAGTTCGATGCTGTCATTGAGAACCTTGTCCTCGAGTCTGACAACTTCATGCCCAACGTTCTCGAGATTAACAGCGAGAACTACTTCCTTTGGGGACGCAAGAAGATCGCCAACAAGCACAAGCAATCCTTTGAGGTGAAGGTTGCTGGTGTCCAGCTTGATCTTCGCGACGTCAGCTACCACGTCAAGCGCAAGCAGGGCTTCCCCTCCATCACTGACACTGGTGTCGCCGACATTCTTCTCGCTGGCGATGGCTTCTCTTTCAAGATGAAGCTCTCCTCTGCCGATAAGAGTGACAGACAGAACTTCTTCAAGGTTGACAAGGTTGATGTCGACATCAAGCACATGAGCATCAAGCTGAAGCAGTCTAAGCACAAGCTTCTGTTTGGTCTCTTCAAGCCCATCATGCTCAAGGTCCTTCGCCCTGCTCTGCAGAAGGCTGTCGAGAAGGCCATCAAGGACCAGGCCACTCAGCTCGACGGCATCATGTACCAGGTCAAGCAGGAGGCTGATCGTGCCCTCGATGAGGCTCGCTCCAACCCCGAGAACACTCCCAACATCTACAACCGGTATGCCACCGCTATGCAGAAGCGCGCTCTCCAGGCCAAGCAGAAGGCGGACGAGGTCACTGCCGACAAGAAGGTCAACTACGCCATCACCAAGGAGGATTCCATCTTCCCCAACATTCACCTGCCTGGAGGTATCAGCTCCAAGGCCACTGAGTACAAGGAGCTGGCTCGCAAGGGTGAGCGCTGGGAGAGCCCTGTCTTCGCCATTGGCAAGGCAAATAAGTCTACCGACATCCCCGATGCTCCTCGCATCGAGCGCAAGAAGCACGGTCTTCCCACTCAGCAGGGACAGTATGCTCCTCACGCCCCTGGCCAGGTCAACGGTGGTGACTTGAACACCATCCCCACTTCCGGCTACCCTACCTCCAGCTATGACGCCCACCCCAATGGCGGTCTTAACGGCACTGTCAACACTCTTTCTACCCCTGCTCACGTCAGTGGATACTAAGCGTAGACATTAATTCTTTCCTTTTGTGGCAGACGTGGATCAAATGATGAGTTGACGGCAAACGAAAAGGCTTATACCCGGATGGAGAATTCAGTATGGGTCAACAGACGGCGGAAGCTTAATGATGCAGTCCCTTAGTAATAATTCTTCTTTAGCTCAATTGCAATGGTTTCAATCAAGATCCTATTATAATAGCCTTGCCTTCTTGTTAGAAGTGAAAACCTTCCTGCATTGTGGAAACTGTGCAAGTGCCCAGTGATCTGGATGTCGCAGTTCATGCACCTAAATCAACCCCGCCAAGCTTAAAGCGTCGTCCAACCCATGTCAGTCGGCACAAGCGCGCCGTTGATGGTGTTCATCCCACCAGAACATAAGTTCACCACCGTCTTTGACACCTGATCCAGCGGCGACCATCCCAGATCCCAGCCGCCCTTGGCAGGGTTACCTTGGCAGGTGTTGAAAGTTGACACCACTGTTGCAGGAGTTTCGTTAGCAATCAGTACACATGATAGTATATGAGTGCTTGATAGGAGATGGCGTCTTACCCATGGCAAGGCCTTCGGGGTGGAACTCTTTGATGTGTTCCTCGTCCCTGGCCATGTTGGTCATCATGGGACCGGGCATGATGGCTAGGCACCGGATGCCCTTTGGGCCGTAAAAGGCTGCTGTGCTTCGCGTCAGGCCGACGGTGCCGTGTTTGGAGGCCGTGTAGGCGACGCCTTTGTTGTTTTCGTGGTTAGCTGGACGTTTATTTGGATACGAGATTCTTGTCTCATGGTCCATTCATTACAGAATATAGATTCTTCCACCTCTTTCCATGAAGATATGGTGGTTGGGATGAGGTGGAATAAGATAAGGTGAGATGGAAAGATGGCACTCACCTGCTCTCGCGCCGTGAACCCCCGCAGCACTGATAACATTCAAAATCACGCCCCTCTGCCCGTCGATAGGCTCCTGCTTCAAGAACTGCTGGATCGCGCGCTGCGAGGTGACGAAGCTACCCGTCATGTTGACGAGGATCTGGCGGTCCCACATGTCCATGGGGCATTCGCCCGTCGGGTGCATCAGGTCCGAGATGCCGGCGTTGTTGACGAGGACGTCGAGGCGGCGTGCGCCTTCGTCTCCTCCGCCGCCGTCGATCCAGGACGAGATTGCGGCGGAGACGGAGGCCGGGTCGGTGATGTCTGCTTTCACGGGGTGGAGACGGGCGCGGAGATCCGGGGCGTCGTCGAACTTGGAGGGAAGAGAGGCGAGGGAGGCGTCGGAGACGTCGAGGGCTAGCACTGTTGCGTTTGCGGCGAGGAAGTGGCGGGTTAGGGAGAGGCCTAGGCCTGAGGCTGCGCCTGTGATGAGGACTGTTTTTGAGGTGTAGTCTGTGGACATGTTTTAAAACTTCTATCTGATAATATGGGTTGACGATACGAGGGTGTTTTACAAGATCTTTAACGGGAACGAAATTCACCAGGAGAGAGAGTGAAGAAGGGTCGTCTTGATTGAGATTATATACACGAGTAGTTCATTATGGTCCTCGTACTGACGGGCTTTTGATAGATCATATGCTGAGAGACTGAACGCCTCTGGGGCATGAAGCATCGACGTCCCGCCTGCATCACAAAGAGAATCCGATACCGAGAACGATGGAGGGTACGACGCGCAGGTGAGAAGCGACGGGTTGAGTCTTGTATACCAATGCTATATCGACAGGAACATATGCACGACCTGCAGCAATGCAACCAACCTTTCTGGTGGGGGCATGTTCAGTTGGCGGGATGTTGATAGTCCCCGAATCCAACCTCCGCATCGCGCGCATCGCATTGCTCGGATTCAAGGTTGCTGACAGGCTGGATATTTCCGATGCGTAGGTTGGAGTACTCCGTACAAGATTGAAAGACAGGGTTTGGTGGTTTGGGGAATTATCAGACGTACACAGGAGACCCTTATTGGGGGGCTGAGGCGTGACGAAGCGGGACGAGGAACCGGAATAACTTCGTAGTAATTCTCCCCCGCATTATCCATGCATACACGGATCCCGGGGACCACGGGAGAGCTACACGCGGGAGGGATGGTGATGGATTGGATGGGATACACGTATTCGATGTAACCTCGGTGCACAAGAGGAAGCCTCCGCGATGGGGGGCAATATTACGTTGTGAAGACAATCTGAGCGTGACTTCAATCGCAAGTCTGCTGCGCGTACAATTACAGGTGTCCTTCTACCCGGACAACATCTTTATTACCATCAAGCTAGTCTTGCTCAATTGCTCGCCTGCAGCTGGTTCGGATCCGTCTGCTTGCTCTTTATCCCTGCCAACCCCGTCTGCCGATTCGCGTCCCGCCCCGTCGTGTTCTCCAGATTCCGCTCGCTCGAGGGTTTAGGTCCCAGGCCGGGCGTGATGGAAGGACCGCCGCGGGTGACGGAGTCCGCGACGCCTGCGGCGCGGTCTGGGGCGCCGGTCAGGAAGGCGAAGGTGCCGCCCAGTGCTGCGGCGGCGCCGAGGACGAGGTAGAGTGCACTTCTGCGAGACCAATTGCGTTAGTTATGTGGACACCAAGCAATGGCTTGAAGCGAAGCAGTCATGAAAGATGAGGGGAAGCTTTACCTGTTGCTTATTTCATCTGGCTTGGTTCCGACTTTGGGGTTTGATGGGGACGGAGTCGGGCGTGACGGCGCTGAACCGCTCGGGTTGATGGGGTTTGGTGCTGGGGGCTCCTTGACGGCGTAGCCCCGGCGGGGTGCAAGTTGTGCGGAGGTGCGGAGGGTGGGGTTTCGGAGGGCCGATTGAAGACGGAGAGCTCTTGATGATGACATGATGGGCAACTTGACTGTATTTGTGCGGTTTACGAGAGCAATGGTGTACCGTAGATGATGAGGTTTGAAGATTTTTGAACTTCACGATAATTCTTCCGATACTAGGTATGACAGATGCTTGGTTTTGCATCCCTTGGATCGCAATGTGGATTTGCGGTGTTATATGACAGTGGCGCGACATGGCGTTTTCGAGGTGCTCGGTTATGACGAGCGATGATGTCGATGATGCACCTTTCCGGGGCCCATTTGTAAGGAGGTAGGTGCGTTCATCTTACTGCCAGCATCAGACGGTCTCAAAGCTCACGACCCAGGCACAAGTCTTTGCATTCCAACGCAGTTCCAACGCAGGAACTCGTCCAATGATGCATTGAGCTAGGTCGATGATTCATCAATGTTGACGATGTACCTTGCGGGTGGGGATATCGAAATGTTAGCCCCTGGCAAGATCTGCAGTAGCCTAAGACCCTGAGCTGTCGCGGAACCAGCCGTCTGCTCTCAACTTCCTCTGCCTCCTTTGACCCTTCCAATGAGTTACCAGCCCCATTACATAGTAAGAGGGCAGGTAGGTAGTCCATATGGACCAAACTCGCCCAACCCATCTAGCCTTGATCCTGTCCTATCCTCCCTGTGGGCACACACCCACGTCTACCGATTCCTCAACGCTGCGTGGATCCCGTCATACGTCCAATTCAACCTCATCCGATCCAGCTGCGCCTGCGCCGACATATCCGTCACGTGCCTCGAGTTCTGCTGCACCTGCGACGCGCGCGGCCTGCGCACCGAGTCCCACGTTCGCAGCGCCGACGCGATGCTCTCGGGGTTTTCGGCGCTGACACTCTCATGGAGAAGCAGCCGTAACCCTTCGGCGTCCTCGATGGCCTACGTCGCGCCCTGGCCTTGGAACGGCGTCATCGGGTGCGCTGCGTCGCCGACGAGGACGGCGCGGCCGCGGGTGTAGGTTGGGAGCGGGTCTGCGTCTTTGACTTTGTAGAGGTGGATGTTTTGGGCGTTTCTTGATGTGCTTGGTGTGAGCGACTCTCGCTTTATGTGGCTGATTGATTGTGAGGTGACGATGGAGGGATACGACTCACTTCATAATCTCCAGCATCCACGACGCAAAGTCGAAAAAGTGATCCAGCATCTCCTCTGCGCTTCCCTCTGCGTTCCAAGACGTGATGCTCTCCACCGAGAGCATGGCATCGGGGATCCTCGCCACGACGTTGAGTAGCGTCATATCACGGCAGGGATAAAAGATGATATTGCGGTGTGTCTCGTCGTCGGCCGTCATCATGTTGAGAAAGTTGCTGTTGGACGGGTCTATCGCCGCCGGGTACCCTCCCAGGATATCCCTCGCCTTCTCAAGCGGGAACGTGAAGCGGTAGAGTGAGGCACCCGGTGATACCATATGAGACGGCCCGCCGATGACAGCTTGTCGGACGAGGGAGTGGATGCCATCTGCGCCTAAGCATACCCGTCAATCCCTGGATACTTGTGCAACAAGTCTGATGTATTCCCATGCATGTGTGCAGTCTTACCAACAATCACATCAGCTGTAACCTCCGCTCCATCCTTCAGCTTCACCTTGCCCTCCTCAACATCAACACCAACAACCTGGATCCCCTCCACAACCCTAGCCGGCGGTCCTGAAATCCCCAATTTGGCCGCGTCCCCCGTCGTGAGCCTCAACAGCTCGTCCCGCAAGTCGCCGCGGTGCATCAGCAGCCACTCGCTCCCAAACGGCTCCGATACGCCCGTCATCTCCCGTAACAGATTCCCCTGCTTATCGTACGTCCTCGAGCCGGCGCAGATTGTGGCCTTGACGTTTTCGGGGCTGAATTGAAAGGCCTTTTTGAGCATCTTTGTGCCGTTGGGACCGAGACCGATGCCGGCGCCGCGGTCCGGGGCGGAGCCGGAGGCGGAGGAGGAGGAGGTTGGATCATCGCGGTCGTAGACTGTCACGTCATGTTTTTGCCGGAGGACGGCGGCGGCGGAGAGGCCTGCTATGCCGCCGCCTATGACTACAACCCGTAGCTTGTTGCTCGTCATTATCTCTGTTTCGCTTCTATTTCCTCTGTTTCGCTGGGTGACATCGCGCTCTCGATGCGACGTTGAGAGATGAGCATGTGAGTTTCCATCACTACAGCTGGAAAGATCTGTTCAGTCACAGCGGTAATGATTTCCTAATCTAACCGGCCCAAGCAGGAAACCTTTCTGCTGAGCACACTTTGGCAGAGTTTTGCTTGCTGAGACATCAAATGAAATTCTATTCATAGTCGCGGTTTTGCCTTTTGTTCTTGGCCTGATGTTTTGCCGAGAGGGATGACAAAGGTTATTGAGGAATTGCGATGCTCGAACTTGGTAAGAAAACTCAAATGGGGCCAGAGTTTGGCTCGAGGAGCGAATGAGAAATAAGCCCGATGAAGCTCTTCTTGTTCCATACGCGCAAGGCCCTTGTCGTGTTTCTGGTTGCTGAAATGAAGGGAACCTCGGATCCGGCCCAAAGTTGGTGATGTCAATTTCTGGTCTGAAGGATGCTAGTGGTATGCTGTATCAGGGATCATATTCCGCCCGATCGGGAGCCGGCGCGGGCTAAACGTGTGCTGTCTGTGGGAGTTCGACCTCCGGCTCTTCATCTCTGGGTAACAGAAATCGACCGCTAAGCTGAATGATGGAGTTTCTGGTAATTGAGAAATATTTCGAAAATTTACATATTTCAAGAGGGCGAAATGATTGGATCGAAAGAGAAGTGAACGCCCTCTCAGTCTAGGACAATTACTCATGTCCGTCTTCTTTGTCACGTGTTCTTCGACAATCTCGATGTCAACAAATAAGAAAGAGATGCTGCCTTCTTGCCAAAATGAACAATAAGAGAGAATTCAAATGCTTAGACATCAAGGTACTCGAAGAAACGGTCAGAGCAGTAAGCCGGACACCTTTCCCCCCGCTTCGGGCCGTCTTAGCAGACCCACTTTCGCGCTCCGACTCGGCGTTCGTCGGAGGGCGAGGCACACAGCGCACCACGCCAGTCAGGGGGAAGGTCTCGGCCCCGGTTTTGGGCGTATCGGAGGAATATGCGCCGCAGGATTGGTCATCTTTCTAAAGTGGCTTTCCAATGCCGCATGCTGCATTCTCGCAAGCGTCACCACTCCGATCCTCCCTGGCTAGATCGGTACTCTCTCAGCCGCGGACTTTTACATCGGGCGCGTCACGATGATTGTGAAACTCCGCTGCGTCGTGGAGAATGAGTGTATTTGACATGAGTTGATATCTCGAATTTCGAAGGTGTAGTTTCTGTATGTATCACTCATCCTTCTGTAGTAGCACATCATCATCTAAACTATTACCTTGATCAAACGGCAACATTGACAATGGCACGAGCAATTCTGGTTTGCGGCGCGACTGGAAAGCAGGGCGGCGCAGTCATCAACCACCTCGTTGAACAGAATGCCGACTTTGAGATCCTCGCCGTCACCCGCGACGCAACCTCCGGCTCCGCCCAGCGTCTCTTGAAAAAGTCGTCCAAAATCCGCCTGGTTCAGGGTAACTTGGCCGATCCGACTGCGCTCTTCAAGACTGCGCAAGATGTCGCCTCGTCTCCCATCTGGGGAGTGTTCAGTGTTCAGGTAACTACAAACTCTCACTTCGCAATTCCTGGGTTCTTCTTTCCTTCTGAGACGATAATGCCTGATACTGATGTGCATCCAGGTCCCAATGGGCTTCGGCCAAGGCGGAGGCGGCGAGCTAGGCCAAGGCAAAGCCCTCGTCGACGCATCCCTCAAAGCAGGCGTCAAATTCTTCGTCTACACCTCCGTCGAGCGTCACGGCGCAGACAACGCCACCAACGTGCCTCACTTTGCCCACAAGCACGAGATCGAGCAGCACCTCTTCAACAAGTCCAAGGGCACGAACATGGAGTGGGCTGTCCTTCGCCCTGTGGCTTTCATGGACAACCTCACGGACAACCTCTTTGGGCGAGTGTTTACCACATCGTGGCGGATGGCGGTCAAGCAGAAGCCGCTGCAGCTCATTGCCGTCAGCGACATTGGCTACTTTGGCGCCGAGGCGTTTCTTCACCCCGAGAAGTACAAGGGCCGCGGGGTCTCGCTTGCGGGCGACGATTTGACGATTGAGCAGTTTGCTGCGGTGTTCAAGAGGCATACGGGCCAGGAGCTGCCTGGGACGTATAGGATCTTGTGTTGGCTGATCATGACGATGGTGAAGGACTTTGGCTACATGTTTAAGTGGTTTTACGATGTTGGGTATGATGTTGACATTGCGGCGCTGAGAAAGGAGTATCCTGGGCTGAAGGACTTTGAGACTTGGCTGAAGACGGAGAGCGAGTACGCAGGTGGTATTCGGTCTTGAGGAGGGCGTTTGGAATTAGGCCACAGCTGTGTCCCGGGTAGAGGAAGGCAAGAGTCATTGTAGTAATACGGCTTATATCGTAATAATCGAAGAGAAACGTTGTACATGGAATTTCAACGACGAAGGATGCATCGAGCTGGACAGCGCGAAAGGCTGGCATCGGCTCTTTAAGCAGACTTAACCATCGTTTTGTATTTATTTGCAATCATATCCAAAGTTATGCTCAATGCTCAATAAAGAAAAGCCTACATTTCCTGCACATTTTCCAGTGTCCCGAAGCAGAACAAATGAATTGCCGCAAACGAGACACGATTGGTCCTTGCCCTTTGACACCCCGTTAAGGATCTAGTTATACTAAGATGAGTGAACTGGGAACCCTGCTTCAGAGGAAGAGGAACGACATAAAAGCTGGTGCTCCTATTCAGGGCGCTTGGTCAAAAGACCAAGGAGAAGTGGAATCCGAGAGAAGACTTGTGCAGTTAGAATCGGGGTATTGATAGTCAAGCTTTCAACATAGGGCGTATCCACATCCACGTGACACCGGTCTCCGACGAAGGCCGACTCCCACTTGATGTAGCCTTGGCAAGAGCAACTAGGTCTCCCTCCCCGAAAATGTACGTGTACCTCAAAATCCACGTCATTGTTTCTTGCTTATCCTATCAGAGTTGAATTCGATGAGACTCTGACCGACGGCCGAGAGTCCGGTCCTTGGTGGAATAGTGTTTGTAAGTCGGGAATCCCGCCTTTCAAAGGCCCACATCGTGGGCCGATGCTCAGAGCCAAGACGCAACTGCTTGATTCATGGCATGCTTGCGTAGACTCGTCGAAGGCAAGAGAATGGTAGTATAGGAACATGGAAAGATACGTACTGCACGCGACTGCAGATCGGGCTGGAGTTATAAAGTCGAGCGATGCTCGTGTGCATTTCTAGCTTCCCCCTCACATCCCACAGACTGAAAAGCATCATCTTCCTCAACATAGATCAACACGCTAGACTCAACCCTCAAGCACCTCTTGTATCTTCAACATGTCTAAACTTCTCACCATCTTCGGAGCCACTGGAAACCAGGGCGGTTCCGTTGTGAGAGCAGCCCTCGCCGACGCCGTTCTGTCAAAGGAGTACAAGATTCGCGGCATCACTCGGGATGTCTCCAAGCCCGCAGCTCAAGCTTTAGCCAGCAAGGGCGTCGAAGTCGTTTCTGTATGATCCGACCGCTATCATTCTTGATATAGACTAAGAGATTGCTAACATGGAAAAAGGCCGACATGAACTCAAAGACCTCTCTTGCCGAGGCGATCAAGGGGTCCCACACCGTCTTCTTCATGACCACGCCCAACTTCACGGGCGGCGCCAGCGAAGAGCAGGCTCACGGCAGGAACGTGGCCGACGTCGCGGCCGAGACCGGCGTCAAGCACCTCATCTACTCGTCTCTGCTGCACGTCACCGAGACCACCAACGGCCGCCTCAAGCACGTTGTCCACTTTGACGACAAGGCCGAGGTCGAGCGCTACATTCGCGCCAAGGGCATCCCCAGCTCCTTTGTCCTGCCGGGGTACTTTATGAGCAACTTCTCTGCCCTGCAGATGATTCGCAAGGGCGAGGATGGGGTCTATAACCTGGCGTATCCTGTTAGCGACAAGGCCAAGTTCCCTCTCATTGACACCGAGTCCGATATTGGTGAGTGATTCCTAGAAGCGCCTAGTCCGATACTAATACCTTCATTTTGTAGGCAAGTACGTCGTCGCGGCAATCCGCAATGAGAGCACCCTCCTCGGCAAGCAGATCTTGGCAGCTGAGGACTACTACACGCCCACGCGGATCGTCGCCGAGTTTGAGCAGGTCACTGGCAAGACGGCCCGTTTCGTGCCCGTCGACGCTGAGACGTACAAGGGCTTCTTCGCTGGGCCGATGGCTGCCATGGCTGACGAGATGCTCGAGAACCACCTCTTCATCGACGAGCCCGGATACTATGCCGGCAAGGACTTGAAGGAGAGCCAAGAGCTTTTGGCTGGCGTTGGGCTCAAGGCAACTACTTGGAAGGAGTTCTTGGAGGCGAACAAGGCTGCTTTCCCGTAATCGGATTGGGAAAAGGACACCTGGTATGACGTACAGAATGCTGGGATCCATGTCAACATGATTTTGAGGTAGTGTCCCAGCGTGGTGTAGACTTTGCCATATATACACAGCCTTACTGAGATGATTTCCGAGTAGATGCCGTGCCCACATGGTTCATGTCTCAAATCCAGTGCTTATGCAGTGACGCGAAATCGGTATACAATGGCTCACGGCTCAGTTTCAAGCACCAGCAGGGGCCACGAGAGCGCCCCTTGCCAGTAGTTACCCAAATGCCTAGCAACGGCGCGGATAATGAAGGCGCCAGCGTCAGCAAAGGGCCAAAAGGTACGGCAGCGGTGCAGCAAAACGCCGTAATGGGCAAGGATGATGAGGGCCTCGGGACGATGCTTCCGCAGCATCTCGACGAAGCCGACCGGTACCTTTACCGAGAACGTCGACGCGGCCTGGGCGTAGTCCCCTTCGTCGAGGACGCGGCAAATGTCGAAGCACCACTGCAGAAGCCCAATGACTTCGTGACACGCTCTCGCGCTCGAATCGCTGAGGTCGGAGTCATCTAGGAGGCGTTTCAGAGACCCGCATTCGTCGCCCCTCGTGCTCATCCTCTTCTCGGCATCGAGGATAACGTTGAGGACGGGTGCGAGCTCGGTGTCTTGGAGGAAGTTCCGGGCCGGCGGGGTGACGGAGTTGACGCCGCGGTTGAGGTTGAAGCACTCGACGAGGCGGTCGATGAAGGACTTGAAGTCGGAGCGGTAGTGAGCGAGGGTGTCGGCGAGGACATGCCTGCCTAGGATGGCGGAGAAGAGGAAGCGAGGGACGGCGGTGACCTTGTCGTCTCTGGCCACGGTTTCCGTTAGACGGGTAAAGGAAGAGAGGGCGCGGTTCTGGAGCTCTGTGGCGAGGTCGTGGAGATGGGCGGATGACCCGGGGTAGAGCTGGACCATGTGGAAGGCTGTGAAGGCGAGGATCTCGTCGAGTAGGTAGGGTGAGTCCACGGCGCGTCGGACGGCGATATCGAGGGCGCTTCGGGCTGGGCCGGTGAAGTGTGGGACTGAAGCTGCATGGTGTAGCAGGATCATGTGCTGCGGTGTGTAGATGGCCTCTGAGGGTTCGTTTGGTGTGCCTAACATCGACAAGCCGAGCTGGCAGTCTAGAGATGGAGGAGCTTGGGTGCTGCTCAGCTGCGTCGTGGAAGCTGGAGACAGAGTCTGGTCACTCTGGTAAGAATTGGAGCCGAGACCAGCCGCGGCTGGCACGTCTGCAGGCCTCGATGGCAGGCCATGAGACGGATGGCTTGGTGCATGAGTGAGTTCGGATGAGTTGCTTTGTTGATGAAGAGCTGGTTGTAAGGGCAGCTGTGCGCGCTCAATCGGCGCATTCGCGTCATTGTTTGTATTGCCGTGACTACTTCCTCTGGAGCCTGGCGATGGTGATCGGGCGTTCCATTCCAATGTGCCCTGTGACCTGTCGCATTGCGATTGAGGTTTTTGCGCTTGTCTGCGCTTCTGCTTGTTCACTTTTGGCGGCGGGAAGAAACACGCGCGCTCTGCGACCTCGCAATTCGCGCATGAGGGCTGACGCTCATCGCAGCGAATGTGACGACGCTTGCACTCTGCGCATCCATTCCGAGACTTCTTGTGAGAGCGGCGAGTCTCTTGGGCCCTGGCGTTGTCTGCGACTATGCTTCCGTTGTCGCTCGAATCGTTGTGACGCGCCGAGGCGCGCGTTTCTCGAACCATGCTGTCGTCGGGCGGGCGATTCTCGTCGATCACCGTTCCCCGTGGAACGCGCGGAGCTCTTAATCCCAGTCAGTGCCCCCTTTCCAGCTGTCGGCATTCGCGATTCATGAATGTGCCTCCTCTCAAGAGCTTGATGCGTTCTAACTTTCACAATGACAGCATCTCCATGTACTAGGGGTGGACGAGCGGAAGGTATCCCATTGATATGACCATCGAGGAAAATTACTTGATCAGCCCGCGTACGCAAGCATCGCAGCACAGCCCCGCCTAATTGAACGCATAGCCACATCCTCGGATTCCCCCCATCAAAAACAGCCATGCTAAGCTACTAGGTAGTTTTCTGCATGGAGTGCGCTGCAAGCTTAGTCATACCACACAAAGACTGTCGAGTGAGAGACGTTGGAAATGTAGATCATTTACAACCAACTGGCATCAAGTATTCAATTCATTCTGTTATTTCTCTGCATGGACTCTCAGAGCATGTGAATTGTGACAAACGGCCATTAATACGAGAAATATGGTACAATAAGGGTGTTCAAAAGCTTACTTGTATTCTGCTCCCTGCATGATCTTGTCATTACCTATTGTCGTGATAGCTTCAATCGTTTGAAGCTTCACTACCCGTCACGTGACCCATATTCCATATTCACCACGACCCACACTCGCTCTCGCATCCTACTACTGCGTGGGGTCTCTCGGGTAGGTCCGAAGCTCCTTGCCTCTTGATACATCAGCTATGTGGGCTTAATTGTGTCTACCCTGGGAGACCCAGAGAACACATTCCATTCAGTAGATACGGAGGCATCTTCGGGCCGACTTGGAGAACCCGAGGTACCAGTCACCAAGTAGATCACACCTGAACCCCCGTAGCCATGAGTCCATGAGGAATCCTCTCACTCTCCTGGCCAGGTTGATGGCTTGCTCTCTGCGGCTCTTCCTGGAGCTACACTGGATTTGTAGGGAGTGCATAAGGGCTCATACGAGTTGAGTACCAATTCAAGTTTCAAACAGTAAATATCGGCAATGGTGTTGTGTCTCGCTTGTGTGAATAGTTACTGAGCCTTGCTGTTTATGGCTTACAGCTTACACGATCGAACCGTTCCAGATAACATCGCAATAGTCTGTAGATGTGCCCTTGCCAAAAAGGTATGGATTCAATATTTGTCACTATCCTTTACAAAGAGAAGATTTCCTAGTGAACTAATCCTGCTAAGTATTAGTATGTCAGCACGCTTGAGGTTTACATGACGGACATAAGCTCGGACTTGATGACCTCGACACAAACTAACCTTACTTGCTGAATGACCCACCAGACGTACCGCAATGTGCGGGACAGGGGTGAGTCCTTACGCTCGAAGTTCCTGAGCACTCCGTCAAGTGACAACCGGTAACGATAACCATTGGCAACTACCCAAAGAGGCAATTATCCCCTCGGAGGTACTTAGTCAAAAGTGAGTAACATCACTCCAACTTCTTGGTCAGGATTCTAGTCATCTTTCAGCACTTCATATACAGGGAGTCTTAAATTAATCTAGGGCACAACATCCAACTAGCTTCCCGCTATACCATCTATATTTCGCAAAGATCCAGTCTATGGCCCGTTGATCTCATCCAAACCAACAGTGAAGACAGCCCATGACAAACCGGATCCTGGTTCAGAGCACCTTGTCGAACCGAGCATAAGCATCGCATTAGTTCACTAAGTTATTACAACGTCTTGTCGATTTTCATGTAAGGTCTCTAGACTACGAGAATATGTGCTCTCCTGTGCTTTCGCCTCACACTTATGCTGGAAGAAGAATGAAGCGTAGTAGCATTGGACTGAGGCCCCTCTCTTCTTGCCACAGGCTTAATGGTCCGAAAAGACTGAGATCATCGCCGTTCTCAGCCGAGTGCAGCCACCATGATTGCCAATGACAGGGTCCCAAATTTATTCGAGGCTTCGATCAGCTATGACAGGCAGGCCCGGTGACCCCGGCAGCTGATAGTATTACATGTAGTCTCAGCGGATATACCGATGGAAACTTGCGCACGTTGTGGTTTCTGACTTTTCCCGATTGCCTCCACCCATTATGGAGATGAGCAGAGGCTTGGCATGTACCTCTCCTAAAGTCAGTGGCCGGGTATTGTCTATATAAGCTGCTCTGCTTTATCAGAATACAGTTGATTTAGTTCTCATGCAGTAGCTTCAGTTCAATCCCTGTCGTCTTACTTTTTCAGTCTTCTCATCTTCCCAGCCGCGACTACAGCTGAAGACACCCTGTCTCAAACTCGCTACATCTTATCCAACAGGCGTGGCAATGGTCAAACCAAGCGTTGTAGGCTTGTTAGCTCATGCTGGCCTCTTGGTTCAACTTGCCAATGGCATGGAAGACTTCCAGCAGCACTGCGAGTCCTTCACGTCTTCAGCTGGTGGTGTCTCTTTCACGTCGGAGTACATCACGTCTGGAACGGAGCTCGCTCTCACCGAAGCCGATGCTACGTGCGGAATCTTCACACAGTCTGTATCGGTCAATCTCTGCCGCATTACGGCTCAGGTCCCTACTTCGAACCGTTCCGGATTCTGGTTTGAGGCATGGCTACCCGAGGACTGGTCCGGAAGATTCCTTGCGACAGGCAACGGCGGACTAGGCGGCTGTATCCAGTACTATGACGTCGAATACGGTGCCTCTCTCGGTTTTGCAACCATTGCGACTAACAATGGACACCAAGGATACACTGGATCCCCCTTTCTCCACAACCTCGACGTCATTCAGGACTTTGCCTACCGCTCCATCCAGAATGGTGTTGTCGTCGGCAAGGAAATCACTCAAGAGTTTTACGGAGAGGCCCATGAGAAGAGCTACTACCTGGGATGCTCAACTGGCGGCCGCCAAGGGTTGAAGGCAGTCCAGTCTTTTCCTGACCTGTTCGATGGCGTCGTTGTTGGAGCGCCTGCTATTGCGTGGAATAACCTGACGTCGTGGGCTATTCAGTTTTATCCTCTTCTTGGGACGCCTGAGTCTGCGACATTTGTTCCTCTAGACGTGTGGCCTATCATTCATCAAGACATTCTGGACCAGTGCGACCAGCTTGACGGTGTTGCAGACGGTATCTTGGAGTCGCCTAACCTCTGCAATTACAACCCCGATGGCCTCTTGTGCACTGAAGCTCGAAGCACTGGCTGTCTTACAAGTACACAACTTGAGACGCTCAAGAGTATTTACTCACCTGTGCTGGATGCAGCCGGAAGCCTGGTGTACCCCAAGATGCAGCTTGGATCCGAGTTCACCGGCGCGGTGGACAGTTACTTCTCCGGGGCAGTCTCACCCGTGTCGGACTGGTACCGTTATGCCATTTTGAACGACTCCAACTGGGATGCCATGACCCTCCGTCCGGAGAACTACACCGTTGCTTCTGGTCTCAACCACTTCAATATCGATACCTGGGATGGTGATTTATCGGCTTTCCAGAACCGCGGTGGTAAGCTTCTCCACTGGCACGGTTTAGCCGATGGTGTTCTGTCGAGTGAGAATTCCCCTCGGTATTATGAACATGTCTCGCAAACCATGGGCATGGATTCGGAGGTTCTTGACGAATTCTACCGATTCTTCCGCATCTCTGGCATGTCCCATTGCGGCAGCGGTAATGGGGCGACCTTTATCGGCCACCAGTCAGCAAGCACTGCCAGTCTGGCCCCGGAAGAAAACGTGCTGATGGCGATGGTTCGATGGGTTGAGAGCGAAGTGGCTCCCGAGACCATCATGGGGACCCGGTACAAGAATGGCACTAGTGACAGTGGTGTTGATTTCAGACATAGACATTACAGATGGCCATACCACAATGTGTACCAAGGTATTGGTATATCACTGCTCTATTATACAGAGTAATAAGTAAATAGGCCGCAAGTCTATAATTAGGTCCTTATTAATACTAATACTAAACTTTACCTCCTATAATTCTATAGCCCGTTTACGAGTTACGTACGTACTAATAGAGCTAGGGCTACGCGTATACGGGGTAGGCCCTACGTACTTAATACGCCCTAATATAGTACCCTTTTTTTCTAAAACCGGGCCCCGGGCCTATTCCCTTTTTTTTATATCTAAGTAAGACCTCCCTAAGCTCCTTTTTTTTATTATTATAAGGCCGTTACCCTACTTTAATAGCCTCTCTTATACCCTTACGTAACCTTTAATAACTACTTAGTTTATTATTTTATTTTTTAAAAACCTAAATTAACTATAAATATTTTCTACTTAACGCTACCTATTTTTTTTCTCTTTTTTCTTTTTTTTTTAACTTATTAATTATTATATATTTAGCCCTTATTTATTACTTTTTTCCCTATATATTAATATTAATTACTAATATAATAATAACTTTTTTTAAAAAAAAAAGTCTTTATTCCTATATATTACCCTTAATAAACTTTCCCTACTTATTATTTATATATATTATATATAATTAATTTACTTATTATTAACTTTATTATAGATTTATTAATATAGCCCCCTTAGTTCTTATAAAACGTAACTAAGCTAATAAAGCTAGTAATACTCTTATTAAAAAACCTAAAAAAACGGGTAGCTCCTAGCCCGCGTAGCTAATATATATAAACTACTTATTTTTTATATTCTTATTACTAACTAATTAAGCTCTTAACCCTTTACTTAGTAATTTATATAATATTCCTTATTTTATATACGTATACTACTTAATTAAAGCTTATAACGCTAAGCTTTATTATAACTAACTTAATATATTATAAACTTATTACTTACTAACTACTCCTTTATTATTATTATTTTTACTAACTATATATATTCCTAAATACTAGTTATTAATACTTTTCGTATACTTATTCTAATTACTCTTATTAAGGCTTAATAAGTCCCTAGCTTATACGCTACTCCTCGCTACTCCTTTTTATTTTTAACTAACTTATTTTATATTTTAAATTTTTAATTTTATTATCCTAGCTTATTATACTTTAGCTATTATTATTACGGCCCTATATACTACCCTTAGTAATACTATATTAATAAGTTATTATATATTCTTTTTTTAAGCTTTTTATAAGTAATATTAACCCTTTATTTTATTTATAAAAGCGTACTTATTAGCTTATTTATAGCCCTATTTTATATATATTAAATTTTATTAAAAATGCTACCCCCTTATTTATAACTCCCGCGGCCCTTATTAATATTACGCCCGCGCCCGTTATTTAGCTTATTCTTATTATATTACTTATTTATAACCTAGGTATTATTATTAATAACGCCGTTTTTAAGCTACCCCTTAGCGTTCTTATTAATACTTATTACTTTTATATTTAAATAGTTAACTTAGCTTATTTATTACGTATTATTAACGCTTTTAAACGTATTACTTATATTTTTAAAACTTTTATAAATATCCCTTATATAAGCTACTCTTTTATATACCCCGCGCAGCCCCTTTTTATTACTTTTTATTAATTTTTATATTTAGTTTATTAATAATATTATTATTATTAATAATAACCCTGCTTAGCTTATTTATCCTAAGGGCGCTATCCCTATGCCTTTTATTTATACTAAGGGTACTAACCCTACATAACCTCTTAATAATAATAACGTACCCCTTATATACCTTAATAACGTACTTATTAAGTAGTACCTACGTTTTTTAGTTTAATTAGTTTTTATTTATATACCGCTCTATTATTACGTTTTTTATTTAATTTAAACTTTTTTTTTTACGTATTTACTATTAATACGGCTAGGGGGGTACTTATTAATATACCCCTAGCACTACTTCCGTACTTATATATATAATTAAGGCTTAGCCCCTTAACATTATTCTTTTCTCTTTTTTATAATTTTTATAAATATATTATCCTTAATATAATATCGTAGCTCCTAAATATCTTTTTATTATTATATCCCTACTATCGAATTAAATACTACTTTTTTTTTAAGCCCTTTATAATTAATAATTTTTAACTTTATATAATAACTCGCTTTTTATTTTATTAATTAAAAACTACCCTATCTCCTTCTTATTATATATAAAGCTCTAATAAAAAATAAAAATATATTATAAACCTTATAATAATTAAGTATTTCTAACTAATATATAAGCCCGTAGTTATTTATAACCTTATAAATATAAAAAGTCCTAGCTACTTATCTACTAGCTTATAACTCAACTACTTTTACTAAATATACTTACTTAATAATACCTAGCTCCCTACTACGAACTTTTATTTATCCTCCTCTTATTATATTACGTTAATTAATATAGCTACGCTTTTCTTAATAATAGTATTATTTTACCTTATTAATATTATAAACGCTCTACCCTCGCCTTAGTTAAGAAGTTTACTATCCTTACTATCCTTATAAATAATAAGTAGCTTAATAATAATAAATCATACTTAAAAGTACTTTATTTAGTAATATACTAATAAAAAGTAATATATATATTATTATATATAAACTACGTAAAGTATAACTATTATACTTAATTTACTTAATCCTCTATATAAAAATAATATAAGTAATATTTTATATATTAGTTTTATTACTCTATTTAGCTATCTATTTATAAGTAAAAGCTATACTTAGTTACTTTTAATTACTAATAAATAATAAGAATATTCTTAGAACTTATTTATAAAAAAAGCTCTATTTAAAATAACCTCTTTAACTAAGCCATAAATAAAGAAAATTTATTTAAATAATAGGTCTACTAACTTATTAACTATAAGCTTCGTAATTATTATAATATAAATATTATATTTTATATACTAATTTATTATTATTAAGATTATATTATATACTTTCCCGTTTACTAAGAATATTAACCTTAATAAACCCGTAATAAAATTTAAAAGTATCTTATTATATAAGCGCGTTAGTATTAGTAATAAAATAAATAAGTTATAAAATAAATAATAGCGCGCCTTTATTTTTAATATATAGTATAACTACTTATATATATCTTTATATTTTACCTTATCCCTAGTTAAAAATAGCCTCGTTATATTAACTTTAATATCCTAAATATACCTAAATAGCCCGCTATTACTATATTATAATAATTATTAATAATCTCTCTCCTTATCCCTCTTTTTATAATATATATACTATAACCCCCTTTTTAAATAATCCGTTATCTCCCTAAACTTAATAATTTAAACTCTTCCCTTATTATTACTTCTTAGTATATATAGGTTTACCCCTCTTTTTAATCTATTCGAGGTTTATTATAAAAATATCCCTTTATTATAAACTTAATAACTAGCTTATTATAAATAAATATAACCCGTTTATTATTTTAATCGGGCGCCCCCTAGCGCCCTTTTATAAAATATATAGTTTATAAACCGTACCCTTAATAATAAACTTAAATAGCTATAAAACTATTTTATTACGTTCTTATTATAAATCCTTATCGCGCAGTACTTAATTACTTCCCCCTATAAATTTAGGTTAAGTACCTACCCCCTTTAATCTTTAATTACCCTTTAGTACTATAATATATTTTAAGTTATAAATAACCGCTATTATTAATAATAAGCCTTATCCCTTAGCTACGTTATTAAAATATCCTCATATCTTATTTACTAACTTCTTAGCTACGTTATTATTTTCCTCCCCCCCTTAATAATTTAGTTTCCTAAATAATCTATCTACTAAGTTCTATATACTTAGTTTAAATTTAATCTTAATATTAAACATAACTAAATCGTCGAGCTAATATAGCTACTATAAATTAAGCCGCTTTTATATTTAAAAATTATAAATTAAAATAATCTATCTAAACTATTATAATTACTTAGAATAAGCCGATATACTAATACTAATACTATAAACTATTAATAATAATAAATAGCTTATTATTACTTATTCTATATCGTATTTCTACCCTTATTAATTTCTTTAAATAAAAAGCTACTAAGTACTAATAACTCTTAAATAATTAATATAATACGGCCCTATATATAAATTTCGATATATTTATATATAACGCTATAAGTAATAATAAATTAAAGTATTATAGCATAAGTATTTATATAAACGCGTTTCATAACTACTTAAATACTTATATTATAGCACTATTAAACTATATATTACCTTTTTTCTACCCTTAGGTTATTTATAAATAATAAAGCTATTTTTAAATAATTCTTAATAAACCGCTAATAAAACCTTATAAAACCTAAAAATATCTAAATATCCTTAATATTACTAAGTAGCGACTACTTTATTACTACTATTACGTACTCTTCCTCTATACTTACCTTTATAAAAATTATATAGCTTAAAAACGTTACTTCCGTTTTATAAAATTTATACTTCTCTCTGTTTAAGTATAACCCTATTATTATAATCTCTCAGTACTTAGTATATATACTACTCGGACTCCTTAATATTAATACTATAAACTAGAATATTATTTAAATACGTAATATAAGTAATATTAATAAGGCTTACTAAGGCCTTATAAATATATACTTAAAAGTTATTAGGGCGTTAGCTAACCTGAATAATATAACTATATACTTAAAGTACTTATATTATATATAAAAAGCTATTTTCTACTTATTGCCTCTTTAATATATACTTAATAATACGTATTTTTAATATCTAGCTTCGTAAAGATCTTAGTAATTAATAATTTATTTAAGATTTCCTTAATTAATAATAATAATATCCTATCCTTACGTATTATTTTATTAAGTATTTTATAATTAATATAAAATTATAACTCTCCCCCTTTTTTTAATATAAATAAGATCGGGGCCCCTATTAAGCTCGTTAATTACTAAATCTATCCCCTTATTTTTATTTTTATAAAGTAATCCTTAAGGACCTTTAGCTCCCTCTTTAATAATAAG